TCCAGTTGATCACCTCCCTCGGCTGAAGATGGCAACATGTTTTCGATGGCAACAGAAAAGTGGGGAAATGTCTTCATGAAGGATATGACACCCTTGCGTTTCTTGATCTTGACTTTGGTGTCTTCAATTGCCCGTATTTGTTCGTCCAGGAACCGGCTGAAGAGTCCTTGCAGACGTTCATGAATCTTTTGCAAGTTCCTAGTTAAAAAGTCTTGGTTTGTTTCCTCGATATCGAGCAGCTTCCGATCAACAGCACAAAGAATGCCTACACCTTGCCTGTGGAGAGTTAGTATCATGACGATGCGCTATGAAGACAAGACTTACAGAGGATCGGCTTTCGTGGCCCAGTCCACAAGACTAGCAATTTCCGCAGGCCAGAACGAGAAAATCTCCTCCATGACTCCAGTAAGATGCTTCGCCATGGCCCTGTCTGGCTCGAATTGCTTTCTGATCCAAAGGTTAGGTCCTTGGCGATTCTCTGGAGGTGCTGCCTGAACCGCGTCAGGGAAATCGAGCGAGTCAGTTGACGTAGCGTGGAAGAATTCCGTGATGAAGTTTTGCTCCGTCAGTAGCACAGGGCCTGTGTCTTCTAGGACCCTAGCAAAGACATCGTATGCATGCAGCTTGCCATCTTGAGCTGCTGGTTTTGTCTTACTCTCTTTGCCATCTTTATCTCCAGAAGCCGCTCGTAAGCCACGAGCCAAAGTCTGACTTCGCTTGACAGTCAGCTTCCTGGCAGTCCCCGTGATACTCTCTGGCTCCTTCTCTTGTGCGGTGAAAAGCAGCTCTTGCTCCTCGCCACTGGGCTTCCGAGCAAATTTCCTCCAAGCCAGAATGTTATCACGAACTTCCTGTTGATACAATTGCGCTGCTTGGTTCTGGTACATCCGGAGAAGCATGTCCCATGAGGCCCTGTCGATTTCCTTGGCGAAGAGCATCACCGGACTTAACATCCACAGCTCGCTTCGACCAGTATCGTGTGCCTCAATGTTCTTCCTCAAAGACGGCATGGAGCCCTGGTCAAGATTCGAAAGAGCGTCTTTTGTTGACAGGAAAGCGGCACCAAAGGTAATCTCCATGTGCTTCTTGAGTCGCTCAAGGAACATAGTTCCTTCGCCAAGATACCTATCTCGCTTTTCTTGCAGAGCCTGCATTGTTGCCAAATCGCTGTTGCCTATGCCTGATCTTCCGTTCAACGTGTTCAGGGCATCGTTAGCACCGGCTCGGCTCCCTGCCACAAATGACGGATCAATCGTAACCAGCGCTTTGTATAGAAGAACCAAAGACGACTCAATGTCTTTGAGGCCACTAATCTTTCCTATTGGAGCACGTCTCAAAGGCTCTAGTTGGTCCGATGTGATTGAGATGGTATCGACGAGTTGCCGAAGTTCTTGCTGCAGCAAACGCTGGTTGGCCGTCTGGACCTGCAGACCCTGACTCTGTGCTTCGATGAAAGCAATGTCGTCGTTTAAGCTACTCAGTTCAACGTTGTACAAGGTCAACAGACCTTCAAGCTCGTCGCATTCAGCAATGGCGCGATCCAGCATACGTTCAACAGCTTCCACACGGTCATCTTTTTGCTCTAGGTGGTTGAGCCAGCTCCCCGCTTCGACACGAGCGATCTCGCGTTTGATATCGGCTTCGAGGGATTCAATGTGTTTATGCGAAAGCTCATTACTGCCCCAGCCTAGCTCTGATAGTAGATTGTCGAACTCAAGGCCGCGTTCATCAAGGATGCTAGGATCAATACCAAGCTTTGAGATGTTCACAATCTGCTGATTGGACCTACGCTTCTTACGTCGCACTTCAGGCTCGGTCTCAGCGTTTCTTGCCGCTGCTTTTTCTGGAGCTGGTGGTGGAGCTTCCTCTTCTACCTCTTGCTTAACCTCGGGCAAAGCTGGCACCAAAGGACCAGATACAGTGACTGATGGTACAACCTCGGTACTGATACGTGGCCGTTCCTTGGATGATCGATCTGGCACAGGTGGGGGTGCCTCCTCTGGCTTCTTCTCTTCCTCTTCTGGCTCCTCCTTTGGTGTTTCTTTTGGGGCCGGCCGTTGAGGTACGAACACTGCACTTACACCATCAGGCTCGTCAGATGCCTTTGTGTCTTTGTTGAAGAGTTTTGCTGCGGCACCGCCTGCACGGGGCTTGAAAGCTCCTGCTGCTGCCGCAGCCTTTCGGAACTTATTTGCTGCATTATCAGCGACCAATGGTTTCTTTACCATTGGTCCAAGACCAGGACGAGGTGAAGCCTCAGTCTCTTGCTCGTCTATTGGGCTGCCGGTATTTTCAGCGGGTGCAGCTTGGGGTTCGGGTTCAGGAGCAGGTTCAGTCCGCACTGGTTGAGCTTGTACAGGAGGTGGTGCTACCTCCTCTGGTGGAGGCGCTTGTGGCATAGGAGCTGTTGGTATCCGTGGTAGCGGGGAAGTGGGTGGTGGAGTGGGCTGTGATCTGGATACTGCAGGGTCTGAGCGTGCAATGCTTTCTTGAGAAGATGGCTTTAACCGCTCTGGCGTCTCTTGGGGTCGTCTTCGAGGCGGTACTTCCATCGGCGGAGCGGGGGATGCCGAAGGGGTATGGAAGACTGAACGTGATTCTGTGCCTTGGCTGTCGAAGCTGCGCTGCGATAGCTGAGACGGACGCGTCTCCATTGTGGGTCTTCTCCGCTGTGGAGGTTCGTCTGGAGGCATGTCATCATGTCGGTTGAAGTTTGAACTGGCGTTGCTTTGAGAAGTACCTGGCCGAGCACCACTTTGGGCTGTACCGGGTCTCAGACCTCTGGGAGAGGGATCTCTCCGGGGCGAAGCATAGTCTCTAGGTCTGCGCGTGTCTGGTGTCGAGATACCTGGTGCTGCACCATCTATTGATCGTTCGTCAAACGATCTCTCTGGTCGTTGAGGCGGACCATCTTCAAAGGGCGGTCCGCGTCCGGGGCTAAGATTTGTCTGGTATTTCGCAGATTCCGGCGTTTTTGGTCGATTGGCAAATTCTGAAGCTGAAGACTGCGGTGTCAAGTTTCGTGGCGCAAGAGGCGATGTTGGTGGCATGAAATTTGGGCCGGGGCCAGGACCAGGACTGGGGCGGGGTCGCATACTGTCACCGCTGGGTCGCGCTCGAATGGTCGGATCCATGGGTTGCTTTTGCCTTAGATTAGGCATGGATGGAGCAGCTTGCATCTGATTTGGCAGAAATGGTGGACGTCTGCGAGCCTCGTCGCCAGTGTTTGGTCTATCATCGTCTGGCCGGCCTGGCCTTCTCGGACCCTGGAATTCTCCTGGAGGTCTCCTGAAATTGGGATTTGATCCGGGTGGCGGTCCTCTTCTGCCATCCTCTGCTGCGAGGGGTGGCATTTCTCCAGGTCTTCTTGGGGGAGGTCCGCCTGCTTTTGGAGGCATAGGTCTCTGCTCTAATGGTCCCGGTCGCTGTGGCCCCGGGCTACCGCCTGCTGGACTGCCTGCTGCTGTTGCGGCCCGGCCCTCGGGTGTAGCGAGATGTGGCTGTCCATTCGTAAGGCTGTTGAGTTCGGAAGCACTGAATCCTGTCAAGATGGGGAAGTCACCCTTAGTATACTTATTGTAGATCTTGACCATACTCCCTATGAAAAACTCCTTCTCTTTTGCAGTCCCAGCTTCCCAGTAGTATGGCTTGGTGATGGTAACAGTGAAGCCTTTGTCTCCGGCCCACTGCTTGCGTTGCGCCTCTTCTTCGTTGGCAGGGTTGAGGTGGACATAGTTCTCAACCGCAGATAGCTCTTCCATGGGCCAAGACTTTCCAATAGAAAAGGTGCCGTTGGCGTTCTCCCTAGCCTTGTGCAGCTTAACTCTGCCTGTGTTGCGCACGGATATCATAATGATTCTCGCCTTCTTGTTTGAAGGTGGTGAGTTTGGCGGAGGGGGAGCCTGCGGATATGCGCCATCTTCCTGGACACGAATGTGGGTAATGTAGGATTCCTGGACTAGAACATGTCAGCATAACTCAGGCCAAGTCTAGGAACCAGCAGGATAGGCAAGACCTAGACATGTATGCCAACTGTATTTGTGGTGGTATCCAGGAACACGTACGCTGTCCCTGCTCGTCCAACTTGGAGAAGCAGCTCTCAGTAATCCGACGTCGCTCGTCGTCAAACCGCTCGGCGCGCGACATGCCGGAGGGTGCAGAGCTCGAGCTGGAGGCAGAGGGGGCTCCTCTCGAACCCCCAGTGGGCGGACGCATTGGGGGAGCTCGAGGGTCCCCGCCTCCGTTGGTATAGTTGCGTGGCCTCCCGTCCATCTTGACTGAGGTGTTGGTAGCTACGCCCTGAAGGGTCCCAAGTCTGAGCAGATGATGTGCCGACTACTTTCACCCAGCGGTAGCGAGGGTTCTTCGTGGTAATGCCATCAATGGTGAATCGTGGTAGTGGTGGTCCTTGCGATGCTGAGCTGGTTGGTTCGTTGGCTGGTCGGTCCTCCGTGAGCGATGGGATTGGGCAGCAATATGCGATACACGTCTTGGCCGTATCCGCTGGAACTGAGTCGGATGTGTGCAAGTGGAAATAGCGGAGACGGCGAGTGAAAGGCCCAAATACCACCCTGCGCAGGTGAGCGACGTTTGGCGTCGTGTACTCACATATGAGACGGCAGGCGCGCGGGACTGGGATCACGCTTGCGGCCTAGCGCCATGCAAGGTGTATTCCGCCCGCCGTAACTTTTTTCTCGCGCGCGACCTGCAACCTTTCGATTCTCCACAATCCATCTCCGTCATTACTACGCGATACACGGCCCCCATTGCTCATCATGGCTGGCGACAAGAAACTCGCCAAGAAGTCCAGCTCGGACAAGAAGCAGAAGAAGGCGTCTGCTGCAGCAACATCAACAACAACGGCCGCTCAGGTACCACTTGACCTTGTCAGAAGGTTCCTCGAGCAGCAGGGAGAAAAAGGCGCCGCTAGCAAGCTCAATGAGTTTGAGAAGTGGCAGAAGAGCGGAGGCGAAACCAATTCCCCAGATGCGCCCGAGCCCATGGACGTCGACGAGGAGAGCGCCTCCAGCAGCGATTCGAGCAGCGGCTCCGATAGCGACTCGGATAGCGACTCCAGCAGCGACTCCAGCAGTGAGTCAGAGGCTGAGAAGAAGCCCCAAAAGGCGAAGAAGGCGCCTGTAAAGAAGGATGATTCGAGCTCGTCGAGTTCGGATTCGAGCTCAGACTCTTCCGACTCGGAGTCGGAAAAGGAAAGCGCCCCCGTCAAGCCTAAAGCAAAGAAGGCCAAATCCGTCTCATCATCTTCTGCTTCTTCATCCAGCGATTCTAGCGACTCCAGCGATTCGAGCAGCAGCGATGAAGAGGAACCTGCCAACGTACCTCTGCCCGATTCCGATTCCTCGGCCGCATCAAGCGATTCATCGGACAGCGACTCTGACAGCGACAGCGACTCTGGTAGCGACTCCGATAGCAGCTCCGAGTCAGAGGCCGAGAAGAAGACAAGCAAGAAGAACAAGGGCAAGAAGGCTGCTTCAGTATCATCTTCAGCTGCTTCTAGCACTTCGGACTCCAGCGACTCCAGCGACTCCAGCGACTCCAGCGACTCCAGCGACTCCAGCGATTCCAGCGACTCCGAAAGCGAAGCCGACGCAAAGTCGACCAAGACAAAGGCTAAGAAGAGTGGAAAGAAAGCAGCCACGCCTTCCTCCGACAGCTCCTCAAGCTCATCCGACAGCGATTCGAGCTCTTCTGACAGCTCCGATTCCGAGTCAGAAAAAGAGTCCAAATCTGCTGCGTCCGAGCGCAAGGGTTCCACCAGCGACTCTTCCCACACCCTTCCCGCAGCATCGCCTGTGCCCGCCAATAACAAACGCAAGGCTGGTTCGCCTTCTGCAGAGGCCCCGAAGTCAAAGCGAAGCCATGTCGAAAACCGATTCCAGCGCATCAAGCCTGACACAAAGGTTGACCCTAGGCTCGCAAGCAACGCATATGTTTCATACGACTATGCCGACCGCGCTCATGCCAAGCTGATCGTCACAAAGGGCAAGGGATTCACCAAGGAGAAGAACAAGGGAAAGAGAGGCTCCTACAGAGGTGGTATGATTGATACCTCTGGCGGCAAGGGTATCAAGTTCGAGGATTAAATGTCTGGTTGGACCTAAGAATCTGATCCAGAGTCCTCAGTCCTTGCCGTCTCAACTGCGCCATGCACGTGCAGCCATTCGAAACATTAGGAGCAATATTTGCGCGCTTACGCCTGGGCGTGGGGGAGCAGCAGAGGCGCGATCTTAAACCTTCAACATCGCATGAAAAAACACGGATCATTGGCGCGTACGATTTCGGCGAACTGGAGTTATCATGTACACCAAAAGCAACATACCCTTCGATGCCAGTACTTTATATTAGATTTTGAGCAGTTGACAGGCTGTCAAATCAGTCTGGCTGGATCAATAGATGTCTATATATTCTACATTCAGTGTACACGACCAGGTCTCCCTAACTCTTCATATGTGATCTTGACTTCGTGCGCGAGGTAATAGCATTCAGACACTTCCAACGTCACAACAATCTGAATACACCCTGTATAATCCTGTTTGTAGACCCCGTCATCATCCCAATCGCTAATGCCTGAGAGTTCCTAACCCTTCCCGTCTGATAGTACAAATATCCCATCCAGCCCCTCTCACCATCCCACCCATCAAGCTTTCTCCCCCTCCTGCCCAAATTCCACCGGAAGATTCATACCCACTCTCCGCGCACTCAATCGTACTCTCTCTTCCTCCGTCATTCCCATACCAGGATTGTACCGCTCCAATAACGACGCATATGTCCGTTGCGCCTGCACGTATTGTACGAATTGCTCTGCCTGCTGTATCTGGCCGTGTGCGCTTGAACCCACTTTTGGTGTTGCGATAGCCGAACGTATGGTTTTTTGGAGGACGGACGGGGCAGAAAGCTTTTGGTGCTGTGTCCGGCTTGTTTGAGGGGTGGAGGGGAGTTCTCGGAGGAGACGGCGGTAGAGGGAACGGATTTGGGTGGGGGCTTGCTGTGCCATTTTGAAGGATGTTGTTTCGAGCGATTGATTGAGTGTGTTTGGGATATGCGGTCAAAGAAAATATTGGGTTGCGGTTGCGGTTGCGGGCAATATTGGAGGTTGAAGTTCGCCGCGGAGGTGCTGCGGCGAAAAGTTGCGGGTGAGCTTGGACCAGGTGTGGACTTTGGATTTCGGATGGGGTTGTAGAGAACTCTTTGGGGACTGCACGCGATGAGTGGTTTTTCTCTGAGGCCCGGCTACGTATGTAGTAATTGCATACAGAATATTTCCCGCCGGAATTCTAGACTTTTTACTCGATCCCAGCTGCGTGCGCAATCGACCAGTGCTTTTCCACAGGATGTGCCGAACCCAAGGCTGCGGCTCCAGAAACACTGGAGTGGAGATGTCAAATCTAGATATAGAGAAGAACTGCCAAACCAGAGTATACTGCATATGAGTAAGACGAAAGGTAGCTTCCGGCTGGAGTTGACCGCAAAACAAACCTCATCTGCGACCGGGGGTGATCCCTTTCCAGAGGAACCACGACCACTTTCAATGAGAGAAAGACGACAACAGAGAAGAGAAGGCGCTTTGAGGTCGCCAACGATACATGTGGATCCAGCTCACCTTCCGGAGCGAGTGAAGCGAAAATTACAGGACCAGCTGGAAATTTCGAAGCTCCCGGCAGTGGAAAACGAAGTTGTGTCTCCTGAGCCCTCAGTACCACAAAACTTTGAAGCCAGTGGCTCAACATCATCAAACAAATTCCCAGAGTCATCATCAACTCTCAGAAGGGATGTCCCACGACGTTCACGGAAAGGAAAGGCCAACGAGGTCATAGAAGACCTCCAACCATCTGCACCCTCACCACCACTCGGCTCGAGGCGCAAATCCGAACCCACTCTTTCTTCCATAAAGCCCGAACTCCCTTCTAGCCATATCAAACTTCATTTCAGCAAGCTAGAAGACTTCCATTGGTACTGGGAGTCGTTCCCACCAACCATCGCGCAAAAAACACAGGCAAACCACTTCTTCACGAACAACAGCAAGAACGCAAAGTTACTTCGAAGCGTAGCACAATTTCGCCTGTTCCCAGAATCAGACGTACCGGAGGTAGCCTTTGTTGGTCGATCCAATGTCGGAAAGAGCTCGTTGCTCAATGCTGTTGTGAACGCAGATATCAAGGCGCTGTTAGCACGCACATCGTCAACACCAGGCTTTACCAAGACAATGAACCTCTATGGCCTGGGCGCCGGAAACGGTGTAACCATCAAAAAGCAGCCCAACGGACGCGACAAGATCATAGGCATTGGTGGTCTGACTATTGTCGACATGCCTGGATACGGCGAGGGTTCGCTTTCCTCCTGGGGCGTGGAAATCATGAAGTACATAAGCAATCGCAAGCAACTTCGCCGTGTGTTCGTCTTACTCGACGCCGAGCATGGTATCAAAGACAAAGACCGTTCACTGCTGGCTTCTTTACGTCTGACTGGTGTGAGCCACCAAGTCATTCTTTCTAAATTAGACAAGCTTTATATTCCCAATGCCAAAGATATCAAGCGCTTTGATGGCAAGTCTGCTCGCCGCCTGGCCCCAAAGGGTACGCCTGAGGATCTTAGGAAGGCTATGGAGAAGCTGAAGAATGAAATTCAGCCGCCGGTTGGAGGTGGTGCATTAGGAGAGATTCTGGGTGTGAGTGCGGAGACCTTAGTTGATGGTAAGAGATTGGGCATTGATCATGTGAGATTTGCAATTTTGAAAGCAGTGGGCTTGGATGCGAAGTTTAAGAAGGACGTTAGTACGCCTTGGGCCAGAGATAGCTGAGAATTCCATGATTGGCTATTTCTGTTCTTGTCTTTTATAATTCGGATCTTCCACAAAGTCCAATGGTAAGATTCTTGCAGTAATATGCAAGTCAGGTGATGTTCGTGATCGCCGACCTCAAAGTATGGCGAATACATTCAACACTTACACCGATCTCGGGCATACTGAATATATCACTCAAATCTGGTAGAAAAAAGACTTATCAGAGTTTACATAGTAAGACCGACTGTGGCTGTGGCTGTGACAGTCGATCTTAGGTTTACGAGGAAGGTTTCGCGCATGCTGATCTGCCGGCGTCTCCATGCGGGGAAGCGGATTCGGCGAATCTCCGACGGTATGTTTGCCGTGAGGAACCATTATCCCTCCCTCCAGCAAAGACCCGACCCTATAAGAATGCATACGGGGTGAGATGTACCGAACAGGTTACTAAATTGGGATCAGTATCAGATTGGTTCACGGCTCGTAGATGAGTTCTGGGTCAAACATCGGCCGAAAGTACCGCCCTCCTTTCGTGTATATGAGCAGTTTAGCATCTACACAATCTACACGATGTTCCACAATCACATTTCAGACCTCAGAAAAAATGCAAATACTCATCACCGGAGCTGCCGGCTTCATTGGCCAACTTGTAGCGAAAAAGCTACTCGAAGACAAAAATGCCGCTCACTCACTCATCCTCACTGACATCATCGAACCTCCCGTCCCAAAATCCACTCAATCATCTAACAATATCCAAGCCATCCGCGCAGATCTATGCACCGAATCCTCCTCCGTCGTAACTCCCAATCTAGACGCCATCTTCATCTTCCACGGCATCATGTCCTCCGGCGCAGAAGCCGACTTCGATCTCGGTATGCGCGCCAACTTCGACGCCACCCGTGCTTTACTCGAAGCCATCCGCAAGACCAGCCCAGGAAGCCGAGTAATCTATGCCTCAAGCCAAGCCGTATACAACAACTCTGTCACATTGCCGGTTACGGAATCGCAGCTTCCAACCCCAGAGACTAGCTACGGCGCCGAAAAAATGATGTGCGAGTACCTTATCACAGAATATACGCGCCGCGGTTTCATAGACGGAATCTCGCTGCGTTTCCCCACTGTGTGCGTGAGACCAGGGAAACCCACCGCAGCAGCGAGTTCTTTCATCAGCGGTATGATCCGCGAGCCCATGAATGGTATCAAATGCGTTATCCCACTCTCAGATAAGCAATGGCGTCACTGGCTTTGTTCGCCACGCATCCTAGTCCAGAATCTCGTCTACGCCGCTACACAGTTCGACACCACTCGCCTTGCTACTTTTGACCGTGTGCTAAATTTTCCGGGCATTGGTGTCTCGATTCAGGATATGATGGATTCACTTGCGAGGGTGGGCGGGAAAGATAAGTTGGTGCTGCTGGAGATGAGGGAGGAGGAGGAGTTGAAGAGGATTTTGGAGTCGTGGCCTGCGGAGTTTGATAATAGGAAGGCTTTGGAGCTGGGGTTTCAGAGAGATGAGGGATTTGATCGAATTGTCAGAGATTATGTGGAAAGTTTGGGGGAGAAGGTGGGTGAGGAGCAGGTTGGGGGGAAGGCGGAGGGAGTAAGTGTTAGGACTGTGGAGGTGGTGGCGTAAGGGTAACGATGCATAGGAGAGTATTTTTTGGATGGTTTTTGGTTTATATTATGGATAGATTATGAATATACCTTGGGTAGGCTGGACAGGTACGTAGGAGGAATTTTGATATGAGTTTTGGTAAGTTGGCTGTGTGGCTTTGTTTACGCCTGTGACTCGAATGACTGAGCCATTGATCACTCAACAATGATGTCAGTGATTGATAAACAAACTTCCAGTGAATACCATTCTCTGAGGTGATCTACGGAGATATTCATTGTCATCGCCGCTGATACCCGGATTTCACAAACGAAAGTGAGAGATATACAAGTCCCAAGACCTTTTGTAGCCTTGGAGTCCAACAAAACCCAACCTCACAAACCTTTTAATCTCGCACTTGGGCCTAGGTAACCCAGGGCAATTACCACTCGGACCAATGGTGCCTACGTCACTCCTTCACTCCCTAGTTGAGACAAACACGTCACTCCTTCACCCTCTCTCTCCTCCTTAGCGCTCCCCACTCTCTATATAAACCCCCGCTCCCACCCATCTACCACCCTCTTTCCTCATCCAACTCAGCATATATTCTTACTCAATGCATCTTTATCCTCTCATAGGGGCGGATTCGTCCAAGAAATCCGCCACCTCCGCCTATCTTTCTTCTTCTTCGGTTGATTGATCGGGAGAGCTTTTGGTAGCGTAAGAGTTCCTCGATCTTTTTTTGACGACAACGATCTAACGTACTTGATAGAAACCTTTTCAGACTCTTCCCTGGTATATCCAGGTGATATACAGGAGTCTGGAGGTGTCTCCTGGAGGCAATTCACCCATTACAGCCTTGTGCACTACTCTCTGGAGTCTTTCCCCGGTCAATCCGGGTGATATACAGGACTCCTGGGGGAGTGCTTGAAGAAGGCAGATAGTATCCTTCCCTTTTACCTTTGGGTAATACAAAGGATACTTGGGCTTCCTCAACTACTGCCGAGACTTCTCCCCGGTATGTCCGGGTGATATTTGTTGTGGTTTGGAAGTCATATGAGGTATCATCACACCCTTCCCCCCCCCATCTCATGGCGCTGCCTGCCAACTCTCACCTCCCTCATCCGCCCATCCTTCCCTGGTGTTCCAGGTGATATACAGGAGATTGGGATATCCCGGGCACCCACATCCTTTCCAGATCATCCCTGATCTCTTTCTTGCCACCCCGCGACATGTCCACTTCGGGCAGCTCGCCAATCCAAGAACCTCTTGTTGCAATGGCCTGCAATTCACAGCTACAAGCGTATAGTACGACTTCCCCCACTCCCTATTCCAACACCGTTCTAACATTCGCAACAGATGTATTCCAACCTCTTCCCCGGTTCGCTGGGAGATACACAAGAGTTCTGGAATCCCAGCCGCCATCCCCGGGTGATGTGACGACGATGACAACGACCCAAGCGACGAGAACCTGGGGGCGTCTATCCGAATGCTTTTGTCACTCTTGACTCATTCTGGACGTCCCCTGGGTGATGCAACAATTATGGCATGACTATGTTCCACTGGGAGAGACGGGAGACGTCGTTCACCAAGGTCATTCCCATTCTTATTCCTTCCCCGACATCCTCGGGTGATATCAGGACTCCTCCGTGCCTCTGGACAACCTCACAATTCCTTCACTGGCATCACTGGGTGATACGACAATGAGAAAGGCTCGGCATATGGGCGGGTGAGGCCACTGCACATGGTAAAGAGCAAGCTCTTTAAGACACCGTCGGTTCCAGGAAGCCCCGGCATTGGTTTTCTCCTCAGCGGAGACATGGTAGTCTCCAGCCTCACTGATCTTCTCCACTGCGGTCCTTCCCCGGTATCCCCGGGTGATATATGGACCGCATCAACGCAGATGAGGATCGTTGAGCAGGGAAAGAGTGATGGTTCCTGCCTGGAAAAACATTCCCAAACTTGAGAATCGGGCGCGCGATCCAGCCCCGTTGTATGGAGGACGGGGCTGCGCAATCCAGCCCCGTTTTTATAGGAGGAGCGGGGCTGGGCAGAATGATATGAGAGATGGATGTTTTGGCTGGGATTAGAATATGATAAGGTTTTCTCTCTCATAGTTCGAGGGAGTGGTGTCATGACTAACTTAGGAGAATCCCTCCTGAGGTTTGGTGTATTCGTATTTGTTTTGGAATATTCAATGGAGAATTATTACTACTTCAGATTCTACGCTTCTGATCTTCGTGATATGTTTTCGTACTGTCTTTCTCGTTTGAACACTATCTTGATGTGAGCCTCACAGATGGACAGTTGCTCCCTTACATCTCCCTAGCAATCAATACGCCATGCGCCATCGAATTCAGGTAGGTCATAGCAGTTTTCATACGTGGATGACGAAAATAACACTGGAAACGATCACTTCATAGAAGATTGAGAGGAGAAAAGGGTATCATTCCATACATCTACTCATCCAACAAATCCATCACTAATTGCGGAATAACTTGCACACCCTCCCCCTTGATCGCACTAATCGGCACAGCCTGGACATTACGCTTCCACGCATGCTGGCGATGACTCGGGTGCGGTAGGGTGCCCTTGGTCACTCCATCCAAATACTGAAGAAGCGACTCAAAATTCGCCTGCGTATCTGGCAGATCTGCCTTTGTCGCGACAACAAACCACGGCTTGGAAGATATGGGAGTTGTAGTGATGAACGGGAGCGGTTTGGGAGACGGATCCAGCTGCGGCGAGTCGATGAGGTCGGAAGCGTCGCTGGGAGGGGGACTGCTGCTGCTACCAGCAGGCATGTAAGTGACCATTCTGCGTTCCGTCTCTGCATTGAGCTCCTTGCCGCGGAGGGTCTCGTACTCGGAGACTTCGCGCCAGAGGAGCTGCAGCGCTTGGACTGCGTCGCCGGCGGAGAGGTCGATGACAAAGGCGAGGACTGCGGCGCGTTCAATGTGGCGCAGGAAGCCCAGTCCAAGTCCTTTGTCTAAGTGGGCGTCCTCGATAAGCCCGGGCACGTCAGCAATGGTGAAATTTTCTCGCAGTTGGCCATCGGGCCTGTGTGACCTGACGAGTGGACGGCCCTTGTGGTTGTCTAGCACAACTGTGCCAACATTTGGTTGAAGGGTTGTAAAGGCCCAGTTACCAACCCGTGCACGGCTGTTGCTCAAAGACCGTAGCAGCGTGCTCTTGCCTGCATTGGGCAGACCCACGAGACCCAGATCGGCAAGGATCTTGAGTTCGAGCTGAAGGGACAACTTCAAGCCTTCGTCACCTCGCGTGGCCATCTTGGGGCGCGAGTTAAAGGGTGTCATAAAGTGTGGATTGCCCAGACCACCCATGGCGCCCGCTGCTATCAACATTGGCGTCTCCATGTGCTTGTCTAAATCCAGCCACAAAGGTGCCTCGGGCTCGAGAGCGGCAAGGTGAGATCTACGTGGCGGAGGGAGCTTGGGAAACTTGATCCTGCTCAACTCCGAGGCCATGGTGCCAGGATATACAAGCCACCTATCTCTCCTATAGCTAGGCTCGCCCTGTTCGAACTCTTCCTCTTCGGGATTCTGCTCCATCTTCCAATGCTCTTCTTCCATGATAGCAATAGGGTCATGCCTCTGCAGTTCGCGCACAATGGTTCCTACAGGGACGGTAATCAGAATGTCTGTGCCCCGCTCGCCGCCCTTGACTTTGCCCTGGCCATTGCGCCCTCTTCCAGCCTTAATTAACCGTCGCCGGGCCAGCTTGTGCAGGGACGTCTCGCCGCGAACGGCTTGAATGTACACATTGCCTCCGCTGCCGCCATCGCCGCCGTTGGCAGGCCCTTCTTCAATGTACTTTTCGCGCAGAAAAGATACACATCCATGTCCGCCCCCGCCAGCCTCGACTGTGAGGATGCAGCGATCGGCAAAGGGTGTGAGTGAATAGTCGTCGGGCGTGGGGTCCAGTCGAGAAGTATCAGATGTTGAGTTGCATCTTCGCTGCGGCAGACGTGGTTTGCGAAGCAGCCATCTGCGTGCAAGTAGGCCAAGTTGCGCCTGGGACACGGCGGGGTATAGAAACGGCGTCAGCGTACCGCTAAAGCAGCTGGGTCGAGCGAAAGACATGCGTCGAGGACACAATTGGGGGCGTAAATGGTTTGTGATATCTCATGCCGTAGATTTCTCAAGTACGTACATCATCGCGCCGCCGAGTTAGCCAATCGCGGCCCAGTGATCGGCGACGCTTGCGCGCAACTAGATCCTTGGCATCTTCTTCATGTTGTCTCTACGTTCCGTAACTTGAACGCCACGGCTTCATTGCCTACCCTGGCCTGTACACGACGGTTTAACACCTGTCTCTAATGACATGATCTATCTGTGAGTGGCTTATCCTAATACTTGGTTCGGAAGTAGACCCGCCGACCCCGATATCTTCGTATCCACAACTACCTATAGGTACATACCAGCGGATTCGCAGTATATTTTCTTTTCTCTACGTGCTCAAAACTGCAGCTACATCTCCTCTTGTTTGCCGATGAATCATTGCCTGGCTTGAAGTATCAGGACTTGCACAACTTCTGCAAACTCCGGACTCGACCTCGTTCACCAACAACATATCCGCCCCGCCCCCACCATGATCCAGTGTGCCTTGCTCGCCCTAGGGGCGGCTATGCTCCATATCAACAACCCAGTGTGGTCAGATCTTGGCAGCAAGCTCGGTCTTTCTAACACCCTTGCTGCAACGGTTCACTGGTTTCTCAAATGGACGCTCTCCGTGTGGGCTCTTCTCGAAGCGAACTGGACATTAAACCGCTGGGCCTACAGGCGATGGCGTTTTTCCACCGACAAAAGCGTCTGGAACTGGAAGCGCGAGGTAGCTGTTGTGACTGGAGGCTCAGCAGGCATTGGCGCCTGTGTTGTAAAGAAGCTCGCTTCCCATGGTATTAGGGTCGCAGTTCTTGACGTTAGCCCCCTGTCAGATGTCTTTACTAGAGGTTAGTCCCAGCACAGATCCAACACCTTCCTTGCTGACAAGGAACCAGATGAGCTCGCTCTTATTCGGTTTTACAGCTGTGACATCACTTCGCAAGACAACGTCCGCCAGGCTGCGGAGGCTCTACGTTCCGACCTTGGTCATCCGTCCATTCTGGTCAACAATGCTGGCATCGGGAACGCGTGGACCATTCTCGACATCCCCTACGCTCGTCTCCAGAGCATGTTCAACATCAACTTAATGAGTCATTGGATCACTGTGCAAGAATTTCTGCCCGACATGCTTAAGAAGAAAAAAGGTCATGTAATGACCGTCGCAAGTCTCGCTTCCTTTGTCACCGTAGCCGGTGCCGTCGATTACAGCTGTACCAAAGCCGCCATCCTAGCATTCCACGAGGGACTTACGCTAGAGTTGAAGCATCGGTACAACTGCCCTGAAATCCTGACTTCCGTTATCCACCCCAATTGGACAAAGTCAGCCATAACAGCGCACTCAGCCATTGCACGCGGGCTGGAGAAACAGGGTGGTCAGTTATTGGAAGCAGATGATGTCGCCGACACCATGGTCAAGCAGATCATCGCCGCGAAGAGCGGGCAGATATGTCTTGGTCCGCGATTCGTGTCTGGATTTCGCGCTCTACCCACTTGGCTACAAGAGGTCATCCGTGATAGCCAGGCCTATATTGTTACTGGCAGTGGCTCAACAGGGAAAGGTTAGGTGCATTAGAAGTCTTTTAGGTCTTGCAGGGATAGGATTGGAAAGTACCCAGCGGGTGCATCAGACATAGACACATGGAGCTGGATATGTGATTGAGAAGGGGATATGTTCAAACATGAATATGAGATTGCAATCTTGAGAGTTCGTGGGTATCTCTTCACTGCGTTATACGTCTTTTGTTGATCTTCACGCTTGTTTCTAGTAGGCGAGATTCAGTCTGGTCGGTGTGATTTGTATCTGGTGCAGCAGCTTGACTCGGCCAACCCGACAAACAATGTTGAGGTCTTTGCAGTTGGCCTAACGACCGACAGACCCAGGTACCACCGTACCTAATCTCGTCAAGCTAGTCCCCAAAGCATGCCTCAACGCGAATACATATTTATCGCATCATAATTTCAAACAAAAAGCCTCCAAAAATTGTTCATGCACTCTGTTGAGCCACAGCCGCATCCTGCGCTAATGTTAGTAGTTGGCGCTGTGTTATTCTCGGACTTGTTGTATACGGACGACTCAGCCCCAAAGGCCTTACACCACGCTTACCCTGTTTCGGCCCTCCGGGAACAAAGTACTCCAATAATAATGAAAGGGCCCTCCCATCGGGTCTTGGAACCAACGACCTTTGGGTTGGGTGAATAATCATATGTAGTTTCTTTGTTGTCCGGCTTCATCGTTTTCGCCGCGAAATTCTTGTTTTTGTGCTATGCGATTCGATCGCGTCCAATGTGGGTGATTTGCCTTGGGATTTTTTTCTTCCCAGTCTATGTCGTTTCATATCGTTAGGTCGATTTTGGCCACGGATATGCGATGGGTTGGTTAATAGAAGGTTTGGTCGCTATTTGTACTGCGTCGTTGGTTGTTGGCAGTAATGGGGCGAAGGATAGACAAAGTAAGTGGGATGGATATGCGGACTACGGGAGTGGTTAATACTTACATGTTCGATAGACGCAGGATCATCAGATACCCTCGATGCGAACAGAAGAATCCCAGTATTGCCGCGTCAAGGACTGCCTTTTCATAATGTTACTAGGGTGTCGGAAACACCGAGCGATACTTCACGCGCGTCGACCACATACACTACTTCCGTCGTCTTTGCGTCAACTAAGACGGAGTCTTCTTCGATATCGATATTCGGAGAATACACTTTTCCTTCTACGCTCTCGCCCTCAGAACCAATATCGAGTACACTGTCTAGAACGAGCAGCAATGCACCTTCAACATCATCTACCCCATACATCTCAGGGACAATATTACAAAGCGTCACGAAAGGAGAGAGCACACCTTCAACCACTTCCATACCTATCGTAATTTCATCGCTTGTACCGCAAGCTGAATACATATCTCCGGCTTTAGCTGAGATCCGATCGTCGACCACTCAACTGCCAGTAACTACGACCGACCTATTCGATATGGTACTGAGTAGTCCTTCTCACACTTCAAGTTCGAGCCGTTTAGTAAATGTCACGGTGGCTAGTGTTACAACTAGTTGTACATCTCTAACTCTTAGCTCAACACCACCAACGCTTCCTATCGCTTCGAGAAGCACTACAAGGCTTCCATTACATGCAGTGTCCGACTTGTTCAACTGGTTATCTCCAGCATCTTCCACAATTTTCACTGGTAACGACCGAGGCAGCTCATCTACTGCAGCAACAACAAGCATACCGACCATCATCATCTCTCAAGAATCAGCTTTGCCTTCTTCAGAGATCTCGATAAACTTCTCTACATCACCAACTATGGTACTCCACAACACGAAAACTGTGTCTCTTCCTTCTGCTATCAGTTACGAGACGAGTGTGGTCAACATTGATTGGATATCACTCATCTTCACCCGGCCCAACCCCCAAACCATTACCCCGACAAGTTCTGTTATGCCAGCAAGATCTACCACTTCAATATCTTCTAGCGTCTTTTTGAACGGCAACTTTTCAGGTGCCGTAACCACTGCAAACCCGGCCGTACCAACTCGGTCATTCGTTTTGGATATATCAAGTCCAACCACTGTTCCATTTCCAGGAAACAAAACTTTTTGCTCAGGAATTTCCTTTGCCTTTGTTTTTAGTACAGGAAGTCCCGCGAGCAGAACCAGAAGCAGTACATATACCCAGACGATGCGGACGAGTTTACAGCCTCCGTCTATGTCAGAACGATTCACGCTCACTTCTCTAATACCCACAACTACTCAATCCTCAGCATCTACAGTTGTTACAGGGACATCAGCCGGACAATTGTCATCAAACATGATCTCCCCGCTACAACCGGCAACTACTCGAGAAACAGGTGCTACTTCTTCGGTTACACTTTTACCATTTCCCGCCATCTCTTTAGCTTTCACCAGCTCGAGGAATGCTTCTATATCTAGAACCATTCAAGCAAGTCACACTTTTAGTAAACCAATTCTTCCGACTAGAGTAGGAAGCAGCTCCAGCACAAGCACTACCGGTAGCTTGCACACGAGCAGGATATCTAATTTACGTTTTTCATCCATCAGCAGAACAGCGGTTCCCTCCACCTCCGTGACACCTAGCAGCTTCGTGACGAAGACAAAGACACGAAATTCTGAGCTACCATCACAAACGATATCGGAAACAGATGGTATTAGGGAAACCATGAAGGGGCAGAGCACAACTCTTCCTCCTACGAGTAGCGCCACTGAGACAGAGGCCGCAGCAGCTCCGCCTCCACTAAAGCCATCTGAGACTGCCGGGGTAGTGGTTGGCAGCACAGCTGGAGTTCTCCTAGCAATCGTCGCTGCGATCTTCGTCGTCCGCCGCTATCATGCACTGAAACACAACGATGAATCCGGACCATACCCTGAAATGGCCTACCTATACGACCCTTTCCCCGACAATTCTGAACGTGACAGCAACGCCAACGAGACTTCAACTCTCATATCGGGAAGCGCAGGTATCAAACCATCTGCATCAAGCAGAAGCAGACCACTCCATCGAGCCCCCCACAACTCTCTCGACGACGAGTACCACCACATGCACAACACCAACTCCCTCCGCTACAGCGACCCCGGCAACCCCTTCACCAACCCCACCGACCCCTTCCTCGACTGGCGAAGCAGCCGCGTAATCAGTACCTCAACCACCACCGCCCCCGCCCTCGCCGCCGCCGTAAAAACCTACAGCAAAGGCCCACAGAAACCTCTCCCCCCACTCCCACTCTCTCGCACCCGCTGTACCCTAGCCGACCACATCATTCCCTCCCCAACACTAAGCCCCCTCCCCCCCCTCGACTGCAACCTCCACCGCACCCCCGCAATCTCCGCTCGGAACAGCGTGAAAAGCCAACGCTCCCTTCGACGCTTGAACTGTCTAGATCGCGCATCGCGATCTTATACACCTCTTCCGCAACATACGAAGGACTCTAGTTGGAATCGCACATCGACACACGACCTCCCCCTTCCCGTAGACATGCGATCAGAAACCCCGGATTCAATCACGCTATATGCTAATCCGTCATCTTGCCATCTTCTTCCCACCGTTTTCTCGTACACGTCGTCTCCGAATGCTTCGTCAGAGAGAACGGCGGTGTCGGCGGAGACGAGTCTAAAGGTGGGTGAGACGCCGCGGTCTTTGCTGGCTTCGTTGGTAGATAGTAGTGGTGTGGGGGATGGGGAGGAGGTGGCGTATGAGGATTTTCCTTCGCCTCCAGAGACTGAGTCTCGTTGCTGGCAGAAAAGAAGGGGGGGATGTAGCGGATGTAGCGGATGAGTATGGGGTTGTGTCGCCGCTTGTGGATATGACAGCGTACCGGTACGGTTCAGGGTACCGAAGAAGGGAGGATCCAGAAGGGTTTGAAATACAGAGGGAGTTTGGAAGGGAATTGTAGGTATGCAAAGGGGGATGGCTCGATTTTGTATATTCAAAACTTACCTCTCTTTCCTTGCTCCATCGCAAAGAACCATTTTCCTCTTCTTCTTCTTCTTCTTCTTCTTCTTCTTCTTCTTCTTCTTCTTCTTCTTCTTCTTCTTCTAGTTTAACTCTGTAGATAGATATGGATACGGATGTTCCAGTATAGCCATTTTCAAAGCAGGAGTATCAAGATCATTAATTTGTTTTGATCACTTGCGTTTTTTTTGGCAGTATCACGATTAAACGACGTTGCTACTGAAAAAAAAATAGGGTATTAACATCGAGATGACTGGGCAGTGGTAGTATAACCTTCAGTTATATTCGATATAAAAGTCACTGGAGAGATACCCCTACAGCATATAAAAAAACGAGGATTCAAAGTGACCATGTAGGATACCAGGGAATGAGATTTTAGACGCGTTATGACATGGTATTTCTTTTCATAGAGATCATGACCTACACACACACACACACACACACTTCCCTCAGCCTCACCCATCCTACCCCCGTCTAGCTCTTCCCCCTCCACCACCACCACACCCTCCCCCCGGGACAACCCGTCCCCATCGCGCGCCCGAACCCAGAGTCTGAATCTTCTCCCGCAAGACCCAAACGGAGAGTCCCGCAGCCCCAACCCCAACCCTTCTCAAGTGCCATGTCCGCACACCTAGCTTGAAGAAACCCTTGCACACACAGGTGTCTTACCGCCGACATCATTGAAACGCGCAGTAGCAGCGGGGAGGCACATACATATTGGAGAGGAAAAAAAGAAAAAGATGGTGAGAAAGGAGAAGCGAGACAAGAGGAAAGGGAAGAAGAGCGAGAGGACTCGGCTTAGAATACCGAGTGACTTTGCGTTTCTACCGGTTATGTAGGTGTGTAGTATCGCATACAATATGGAGGGAGTGTATGTGTATGTTGGTACAACACACACCACCTTGGTCTCTCCGTTTTCGCTCTCCACCCTCTCCCTCATTTACATTGAGGGAAAAAAGTAAAAAAGACACAAGCGTAGAGTACAAGCGAGAAAAGAAGGAACAAGGGACGGGACGAGGACGGAGTTGAAAATTGAAAGAGGGGGGGGGACCAAAGAAACGCGCACGAAGGGAAATTGGTCGTGTGTCAATACAAGTTCCAATGTACATAAGTGAACGTTGTCACACAAGGGGTGACATATGGTACATCCATGACGTGTGTATGATCCCCCTCTCCGTTCAAACCCACATGATCTTGTTTTTCCTGTTGTGTGACCCTGCGCGGTTCGGAGAGTAGATTCAAAAAGAAAAGAAAGAGATGAAGGGAAAGAGAAGAGGGGTGTGTAAGTGTGCGTGCTAGTGTGTGTGGTTGTGTGCAGGGACGACGGGTCAAACGGGAAATCAAAAAGAGTTTTCCCGTGGAAACGAGAGTAAAGGGAGAGACTGGGGGGGGGGGGGACACAGGGATCGAGGTTTCCTTTTTCGAGGAAAATGAAAAAAAAGTAAATGAGAATGCAAGAGAGAAAAGAATTTTGGTCCCTTGGGAATGCAGGGTAAAGAAAACAGGACGGTGGGGAAAAAAGAAACGAAAAGACAAGAAAAGAAAAAAAGATTTAGAAAATAATAAGAGAGTGTGTCAAAGTCGGTAATTACACGCATATGCATTATTGCATGCAATCAAATCCTTACAAAAAAGGCGGAGGGGCAGAAACCGATAAAAACGAAAGGAATCAAGGGTTACCAAAAAAGCAACACCCCACCGGTTTGAAGGGAGGGGGAAGAAAAAAACGTGGTAGCAAGGTTAGCCTTGGAAGAAAGAGAGGGAGGGAGGGGGAGATTTCGCACTACCACCCATCCATCCGTTTCCTTGTTCAGCTCCGACAGACGCATTACACCTACATTACACGTCTGACCCTCCCTTCCCCCCCAGTGGCAAAAGATCAAGGCAGGCGCTTTTTTTGGTTGCATTGCGTCCTGTGAGATCGCGAAAGGAAAAACAGAAAAAGGAAGTTAGAAGCGAGGAAAACCAAGGTTACCTGTTCATGTTATTTCTTTTTTTTGCTTTTTTGCTTTTGTTTGCATGCTTCTCTCTTTGTTCAGCTGGCGTGCATACAGCACCTCTATAAGGCATGGTCGCCAGTCGCAGCTAGGGCTAGGCTGACACAGGCCCCCCTCTTTCCCTTTCGAACTACTTTTTTCTTACCGGGTCAGTATTTTTTTCTGGGTACCAAACTTCACTTTTGGAAAAGGTAGGGGGGGGCGTGAGAAGGGAAAAATAAAACTTGCCCCACGTCTGTCGCGTGGCTGACGCGGAGTTAGGCCCGGTATGCACGCTAGTGCACGCCGCGCAGCCTCGTCTCGACGTGCAATCGTTTTCCTCCGTGGCTTTTCCTTTTTCTCGCCTGTGGGCCTGGATGAGTCCGTGTGTGTGAGGGTGTGCCGTTCGAAAAAAGAAGGGGGGGGGTTTCCGCAGCCGGCATCATCCGGAAGGCACGCTGCACGGGCGGTGTGAGGCCCAGAAAGTAAAAAGTCCCGAGACGAAAAAGCAAAGAGTACAGGACGTCATCGAGTAAGTGCTCTGCAATCTTCAATGTGACTGCACGGGCATGGGTTCGACGAGATCTCATCTTGCATATGCACGTGCGAGCATGCACGCCTATGCACCAGGGGTCTTTCGATGTGAGAACCGGTCCGCTCTTTTCCTTTTTTTCATGTATGTATGTATGCATGTTATGACCTAGGTGTAGTTATTGAACATGCTGATATACCGCCATAAAATCTGGGGGCCGTGACTGTGACAAACCCACTATCTGTGCTTATGACTGTGGGAACTCACGCCCTCTCTGTTCCTGATTGGTCCAGAACCTGGCAGCCTGGCTTGTCATCCAAAAGGCCGTTGTGGAACACCACACTCCCGCATTTGAACTGCTTCACAATTGTGGATCCTTCAACGGTCGAAGCAGAGCAAAGACTCCCTACTCCACTCTGTGGTTGCATTCGCTCCTGCCATCGGCTCCTGTCATCTCCATCACAATGCGAATCCGGCCGCTTACTTGGGGCAAAAGAAAACGAAAAAGAACAAATGCACCAGCTGCTGTGCCATGCTTCCAGAGCTCATTGTTCAGTAATCTCCATCCCTTCACTCACCTACGCATACCCCCTTCTTCATAGACGGTCAGAGGCGTCGATGCAGTCGCACTTGTTCTTCCGATGGTTCCAAAACTCCATCAGCCACTGGTGGGGTGTTTCAATTTCAATGGAGCCAGGACACAGCGGAAGCTTTTGTCGGCATTGTTGCTCGTACTCGCGAATCGCCAAATGCGACTGCAGTTCCTCAATCATACACTCAATCAGCTCCTTGGCTTGTTCATTGCTCTCACCAAGTGCGTCACGAATACTCTCAGCCACAGCCTTGGCTTCGTCAGGTGGAGCCTGGGTGATGTGGTAGAAGTATTGGCGCCTGTAAACCTCCAAGGATGCATCCCGAGGTGGAGCTAGACCGCCCATCTCGCTTATGAGGATCAAAGGGCTCTCTGTGTAGTTCCAGGTTCGCGATTCATGTATGGAGTTGCGATACAATACCTGCACGTCAAAAAGGTGTAGCCTGGTCGCACCTACGTGGACAGAATTTAACAGCTCCTGTCTCAAGCCATTGGCATCCAGGTTCGAGTTGAGAATGGTATTATCAGAGTTCAGATTGATGCCTCGGGCTTCGTCCATGGTGACGCGTACTTTGACGAATAGTGTGTGCACTTCTCCCAGGTAGAGCTGAGGAATCTCCTTATTTCCGTAAAACTCGATAAGCTCGCAGCCTGTTCTGGCCCGGACATCGACGCTCAAGCCAGTCAGCTCTCCTATAGGCTTGGTGCATCGCGCATTCCGTAAGATGCGCTTGATACGACTAAGAGTTGACTGATACTTGGACCAGTTGCTTGCAAATACATTACTACAGCAGGTATCAGTGCAGATCGTATTCTGAGACTCCGGCTGGCGACGATATGGAAGTACGGCCGGGTTAATTCTATGAAGATGGAGATCTGCAAAGTACTTTGATATATCATGAAGTACATGGGCTGCGGGCGATAGTACAATAATATGAGTACGGCCAGCTTTGAGACGTTCAACCTCAAGTGACCTAGCTATGCCAAGGACGATATCAACCATAGGTGGGTTTGGCCGAGGCGGATCCCAGACTTGGGTACCCGACCGTAAAATCGTAGCTGTAATTTCTCGGATCATTGATCCCGTATCTTTGCTGAATCGTCGTATCGGGTACAGCATGTCAGGTCGATTTCCGGTCACTTTCCGGTGAGTGCAATGTGTGGTATACAGCGCCAACCGGTCCCCAGAGCCGAGGTGATACTATAAAAAGTAAGTACGGGAAAGCTAGCTAGTTTACTTTTTTCGCCAATGCAGCCTACCAGAGCTCCGTTGACGGCTTCTAGGGACTTTTCCAGGCAGGTCTGGGTCACATAGTATCTATGTCTTGCGTCAATTTGCATCTTCGAGACCGATGTATGTGCACTTGCCCGTTGTCTACCACAAAGACCACGTCAATCGCGGTTTCAGAAAGAGATCTCTGGTTATATAAAGTTCCCTCAATATCGATTGCGACGGTAACCTCCTGCACGTTCTCTGTAAGTACCTTGGCATCTGGGAACAGTCTAATCGCCGCTCGTAGAGTGGTTGGTAGCGCAAGAGGCGAGTCCGGAACATACGCATCAGCCACCTCTCGGTCGTAGTCTGTCGGCGGGGGCATGTGCTTCGCAAAAAGATCCATGAAAGACTTGATCTTTTCCCCGCTAAACACGCTTAGTTATTTCTTTTCGCGTAGTAGGACGGGAATTGACATACTTGCGGGCATTTCTTGCCAAATAAGCCATGATGGCGCTTTCATCCACGCCTTGCACAAATGACCTTTCCTTGTCCTCATTGTGAGTTGTAAATATTGTTTTGATGGGCGATGAGACTGTGTCAGACACAGTTCTAGTGCTGACATTCGTATCCCCAGTACCTTGACGGCGCAAAAGAGGAAAACCATTCGTAAAGAGCCGCAACTTACTCGACTTGGGCCGTTTTGGTGGTTCGTTACGAACTTTGTCGTTTTGGATCACACCTTCTAGAGCCTGTTGAGCGCTTACACCGTCAGGACCCTTGGCGGGACCTAGTACCCTTGGCGCATGTGTAGACTCAGACAAGGGCCCATCGGGCAAGGGCCAAGACATGGAACCCATGGTGTGCGAAAAAAGCCCTGAGGCGCTATCGACATGCTTACCTTGACTGCTGTTGCGCGAATGCGTCATTGGAACCCCAAAGCTCGAGCTTGAAGCTGATGAGCGACTGTTCCTGCTCTTCGGTATCGTCAGAGGATGATGGCTTGGAGTACGACTGATGGACAGAGGTAGCGCGGTGCACGATGGTGGTGCGTTGACTGGGCACGCCCAATCAAGGACAGACAGGTCGACGCTATCATCGAGCGGCAGCTCCTAAATATCGCTCTTGATCTCGTCGATGATATCGTCTAGTGGCCCGAACACGTACTGATCGCCAATGTCACTGTGCGTGGACTTACGAAAGATGCGTCGGCGAAACGTCGCTTTGCGCTGCTTTTTGTGTATGTGTAGCGGGGATGGACAGAGGTGAATGTGGGGAGGCAGGACGCTGCCGCTTGTTGTTGTTGCAATCATCTTGAGCGGGCCAGTGTTGACAAACGGAGGTCTAGTCACCTCACCCTCACGCAGCCCACTCTCACTCACCGTGAACTGCTGTAAGTATGTGCGTGGTCAAAGCCCCAAAGCCAAAACTCGTTGCCTTACAAATGAAGATGATTAAGAAGAGCAAACTAGTGCACGGGTTGAGATATGAGATTTGCACGCAAAATCATAGATAGAAGGTGGATGTAGAAACTAAAGGAGGGGGAACTAGCTATCGTTTAGAGAAGGTATGACAGTGGGGGGCGGGGAGGGGGGGGCGCGCACGCGAAGATCAACAGGATCATCGCTCTTGCCATGTAGCAACAGCACGTTTGTCCTTGAGTGTACACCGGCCGCAGTGACATTGAGGAGCCTTCCTGCCCATTGTAGAGGCGTCGGGGTAGCTCTTGCCAATGTGGCATGTGCACATTATACTTCAGCAGTACGAGCGGCAGCCATCTCTAGGTGCATCTTCATTTTCTCCTGCATTTCCTCGTCTGCCTCACGGAAGCGAATCTAAAAAAGGAAAGCGGTCAGTCATCTTGTCTTGCATGATGTCGGTGTCGAGAGCTTACAATGTCTTCTCCGGCGCCTGTGCCAAAAAGTACAGGCTCAGAGAGACTAGCCTTGACTGCTTTTCTCACACGCTCCTCCCACACACCCTCCCAATTCCATTCTCCAGGGCGCCTGTTTGGGCCTAGCGCATTTGTGCTTTCTGACTTGTCAGTTACCAGCAGCTCTGGGCTAGGCTCTGTGGGTGGAGATTGCTGAGCTCGCAGAACAGGAGCACGATGGGCCCGCCACGCGTGATAGGCTCCTGGATTGGCAGCGGCATCGAGCGGAAGCGAGTCCAAGATTGACTCATCACTGAAGGTGGAACGTATGTACTCTATCATGCGCACAATGGATATTTCCTCTGTCGAGCGGGCCGCGCCAGGAGGAGCACCCAAGGTGACATTGAAGTCGGAACGTGCGGGACTGGCCAAGGCAGAGCCACTGGGGTGACGAGAATCGGGCACAGAGGATCGAGTTCGTCCAAACCAGTGTGGGAAGCCGTGTCGCAGACTGAATCCACCCGGGGGCAGGCGCTCCTCATCCGTAGCACTTACGGTATCCGACTCAGCAGATCCAGTCGTGTACGTGTACGTGGTAAGCGGCGTGAGCAAGGGGTGAAAGACATCGGTGGAAAAGGTCACGAGGGGGGGTATGGCAGGATAGCTTGGTGGAAAGGAGATTTGGAAGCGTAAGACTGCAGGCGCATATGGTCCTATCAAAGAGGTGAACAAGGGGGCCAATCTAGATGGGCGAGAAGCACCAGGGGAGTCGCTTAGCCCTATGGAACACCCTACCTTTTCGCACGAAGATCACACCGACCCACAGTGATGGGTCGCCAGGCGTGATGCTCAGGAAAACGCCATCAAGTTGGGCATAGCGAAGGCGCGAGCTGTGCGAATGTTAGGCATGCGCTAGCAGGCTGTGTGAGGCGTATGAGAGAGAGTGTGTGTAGCCTACGACGTACAACTCGACAAGGAGATGTTGCTTCCGAAAGGACGGCAAAGCCGATGCAGAGCCTGATAGTGGCATCTTTCGACCAACAGTGACTGTGGTAGTGATATGTACAGTGGTTCGGCATGCCCTTGAAGCACGGCGGATGGGCGCTTGGCACTGGCACTAGCGCGAGCGCTAACTGATTTTACGTGATCATATGTACTTGGCCCCCTTATCGTGTACTTCGGCCTCATTTGCAACCTTGGTTTCAGGTGCGACACGAGTTGTGTATACCTTGTGATGTATTTTTTTCTCACCGGCAAGGCAAATGAAGTGGGCGCACAGCAGCAATTATGACGGCGTTCGGGGCGGTGCGCCGACGTGGCAGATTAGTAGTGGTGATGTTCAAGAGTTGACCAGGTCATTTGAGGAAGGGACATGGGGGGTGAGCGAGGCGCCGATTATGGTAATATTACAAGTACCGGCCTTGATTTCCCGATAGTGCCGGTCCCCCGCCTGATCGTCATCGTTCATCTCTGTCAGACATTTTTAACTCGGGACGCGGTGTGAAGTGCGGCCGGGGGGTGGAAGGATTGAGGCCGAAGGATCTGTGCCGGACAACATGCACCGGACCGAGTGGGAGAGCAAGAGGGCGAGACGCCAAAGCCAAAAACGGTAGATACAAGCACAATGTGACAGAGGGCGTGGTAACTGCATTTGGACCGTTGCATTATTGACGGGCCAGGGCGCCGTTGCGGCGACACGGGCACGTATGTAGTGTGGCACGCCATTGCCAGAATCTGGCAACCCGGGGGGGCGTCAGGTTTACCGGAGCCGCCCTGTGAGTGCCGAGCCCGGGCGTGTGCGGACATGGAGTTAAGGAGAATGGACCAGGCTTAGGGTGGACAGGGAGTTTAGGCGCGAGAGGGCAACCGTCGTGTGGACGAGGTTGCTGTCGTGCGACGTTGAAGTCAAAATGTGCTGGCTCCAGTCAGGGTGTCAAGGGTAGCCTTACCGTGACTGTATCACAATGGGCGCCAAGCAAGGCGAGCGAAGGACCCCGGATGTGCATGTGGAGCAAGTACGTACATACATGTAGGACTTACTATACATGGCAGGCAAGAAAAAAGAGGCGTCGTGGCCCCCAAATCGAGGCGACGTCGTGGGCAACACGATGAGGGAGGGGAGGGGGGTGGAGGTCGGAGCAGGGTCAATTCTGATCGACCCAGGCTGTCGGAGTCGAGGCTGTCGGTGAGTGGATGTACAGTGGACAGCAAGTACGTGTGCAGCCTTTGTAGTGAATCATATTGCAGCCGACAAGCGCGTGAACTAGGCAAACCCCAACCCTCTGAAACCTCGCAGACCCAAGTAGACTCGTGTGCTGTGCCGTTGACAAGTCTCGGACGCTGCTGCATGGTGAGGTCGAGCAACAACCTAGGAGCAAAAGAGCATGGCGCCATGTTCGGAGGATTCCCAGCACGACAATCAGAGGGCCAGGGGCATGCGTCGAGCAAGGCTAAAAAAGGCGGTGGCTGTCTCAGGCGCTTCCATGTGCTAGACGGCTAAACCCTGTCCTCGCGTGGAAATCTGCAGGCCAGCCTTAGATATCCACACCGCCATGGCCGCTTGGGCCACGGCCCACACTGGCTGCGTCGAAACAGCCGTTATACTTTGACACCTCTGGCTTGCGGTTGCCCCGGCCAGCACAAGCAAAGCATCGCACGACGGGCTGCGACGGCTGGCTGACTGGCTGGCTGCTTTGTTGGTTTGCTGGCTGGCTGGCTGGCTAGCTAGCTAGCTAGCGACATAGTAGCTAACAGGCTGGCGGCTGGCACGAGGCTAGGGGTGGGGGGCCCACCAGGCGAGGTGGCAGTGGCAGTGGCAGCATGGGCAAAAGGCAGGCAAGGCAAGGCAAGGCATAGCATGGCCATGGGCATCTATGATGTACGTACGTACAGACGCAGTTTAGAGCACGATACGTGTGAAAAGCGTCCATGTACGTATGTACAAAGCGTGTCCAGCGCACACGAGGTGCGGGCGACGGGGGGGAGGGGGGTCAGCTGACGGTGGGGGTTTTTTGCAAAAAAACGGGAGCAGATGCCAGGGCTGATTTGATGGCGGCGGAGGGGCAATGACGGATTGTACCATGTAGATACATCCAGCTAATAGGCGTCTAGAGTAAGTCAGGACAAAGTAAGAGATGGACATGGGCAAAAGGGCAGGCAGGCTGAGAGGGAGCAGGGATGTGGGTGCGATGGGTAGCTGGGGCAGCAAATGAAGGCGGCGCTCGGAGGGAGCCAGGCCGCGATCTGAGGGACACGAAACGCGCTGCGTCGTCGTCGTCGGCCAGTCGAGCGGCGCGACTCGTGCGTTTGCAGTTGGAGTGCTGACGGCAACCGGGATCGTCGTCGTGTAAGTAGAGTAGTATGTATGGAGCAGCGTGCATGGCATCGCGACTGACTGACTGATGCGTGAGTGAGCGACGCAGGTCTGATGCGCGTCGCCGCGTGACCGGCCGGCGTGCAGTGTCTTGGAGGGCTCGAGGGCGGGTTGTCGCGGGCTCTACAGGCTCTCGAGGAGCGTACAGGCCAGTACAGGCCCATACACCGCCCTTTTTTTTTGGGGGGGGGGTGGGAGGAGTTGGTGGCGGGCCGGTTGCAGCAGCGCACAAGATGCGTCGTCGTATAGTGTGATGGCACAGTCAGTGGGTGGTGGGTGGTGGGATGTGTGTACACATGTACAGGACAGTACAGTAGAGGACAGGGCGGGCATGCAGTGCCAATGATCTCATCACTGGAGGTCAAGCGCAGCCTGACCCATTGCCCATTGCCCACTGCCCACGCCCGTGCCCGCCCGGCTGCGCACTGTGGTCTGAGCTGGGCTTCGAGAAATTCTTCGGCGTCTCTGCTGACTCGCCGGGCGCCGCCGCGGCCAGTCTGGCCGGGCTCTCTGGCTGGCGCTGGTGCCCCTGAGGCGCGGGCTGGGCATGGTGGTGGTGGTAGTGGTGGTGTTTGTCGCGGGCTGGAGGTTGCTGGGCGTGTGGGCAGCAGCCGGCACCGTGTCCCATTTGTCGGCCGGGGCTGCGGACAGATTACCGGTTTCCGTTTACGGCATGTGAACGGCCAGGTGCGGCGCCGGCATGTCGTTCCCATCTGGACAGGGGTTCCCTGCCCGCCCTGGCCTGTGCCTGTGCCCTCGCCTGTGCCTCCGCCTGTGCCTCCGCCTGCGGTGCCATCCATGTCTGCATCTGCTGCAAAATGCAAAAGTCCGCGGTGGGCAAAGCATGCGGGCCCTCGTCTAGCGCCGAGCCTTTGGGTCCCGGGGAGTCGGGCTGCGCTGGTGATCCTGTTCCTCTTACGAGCCACGTCCAACGCTCTTGTAACTCTCCCCTGGTCCGCCTTACTCGCTTCCTTCTAGCTTCGTCCAATGTCGTGGATTCCGCCCAACCCGAACCACCGCCAGCTGCTGCTGCTGCTTTCCCCAGCCCCAGCCCTGGCCCTCCTCCCCTTCAGGGGTTGTTGGAGTCGCCTCCAGCCCGAGCCCGATGCTTGCCTGCTTGATTGCTTGCTTGCTCCTGCGCCTGCGCCTGTCTGTGCCTACTCCTGCGGCGCACACACACTCACGCGCACCGTCATCTCCACTTGCTGCTCATGTCTGTCTGTATGCTCGTCCGTCCGGTGACGCCCACAAACAAACGGCCTAGCAGTAGCATCAGTAGTAGTAGTTACACGTACGTAGTTTGCTTGCTTGCTTGCCTGTCTGCCCGTCGGCCTGCTTGCCCGCCGCCCACTGTGCGCCCTGTCGTAGCAACCATGCCATCACGGATCCGCTCCTCATTTTACATTTGCTGGTCCTTCCGCTGTCCCTATCCGCCCACACTACGTATTCATACCCACTGCCATCACCGCTTCTTCTCCGTTTCTTCCCCGCCGCCACCATCCTTGCTCACTCCCAGCGGGCTATCCGTTTTGAGGACGCCACTTAAATCTTGCTGCTCCTTATATACCCTGTGACGCTCGTCTCCTTCCAGCACGCTCCTCTTGAACCCTGGAGGTACCCATCTGTCCCAGCCCTCGCACATGTTTTATCTCTCTCCGTCTGCCACCTGTTGCTGCTGCTGCCACCACCACCGTCGCCTTTAACCCACCCCCCAGCACTCCAAACGTTGGTCCACATATCCACCCTACCACCACCCAACACCCCGTCGACAAAACTTGAAATACATACGCGTCCCCGACTACTATTACCATCACCATCACCAAACTACCACTACCACCACAATGCCTCGGTATGGCGCCCCAACTGCCATGGGCAGCGCCAAAACACCTTTCCCTACTCGACAAATGGCCGTTCTTGGTGAGCCGACCTCCTTCCTCCTTGTCGTCGTCGTCGACAACGTCATGTGACTCGCTAACCGACAATCATCAGCCCTGTGCCGGATATGCGAACCCATCGCTTTCATGTCGATCTTTCCTTATGCCTACTTCATGGTCGAATCCTTCATGAGTGGCCAGAGCTCAGCCCAAATCTCAATGTACACGGGCATGGTAACTTCGTCATTTGCCTTCATGGAATGCATCAGTGGCATTTTCTGGGGCCGACTCAGCGACCGGGTCGGACGGAAGAAGGTGCTGCTCGGGGGCCTCCTGGGCACGGGGCTGAGCATGCTTCTTTTCGGCTTCTCCCAGAGCCTGCCAATGGCGCTCATTGCCCGGGCTCTCGGGGGTTTGCTGAACGGGTGAGGTCATAGTGTGGTTTAGCGTCAGAGCCTCGCTAACCGAATATGCAGGAACATCGGCGTACTCCAAACCACCGTCGCAGAATTGATCACGGATGAGCGACACCAGCGTAAGTTTGCCCTAACCTTTAATTAACAACGCCGATCGGAGCTGACTCTTCCCCCCATAGCTCGCGCTTATTCCATCATGCCCTTTGTTTGGTGCCTTGGGTACGCTTTCCTCTTCGGCTTCCCCCATTTGTCCTTGGCTGACCGCTCATTTTGCAGCACCATTATTGGCGGATCCCTTGGCGGCTTGCTTGCCCGCCCTGCCGACGTAATGCCTTTTTTCAAAGCCACCATCTTCGAAACGTACCCGTTTCTTCTTCCAAACCTTGTATGCACTGGTTTTGTTATTCTCGGACTCACGGTCGGCATCCTGTTCCTTGAGGAGACTCACGAAGATCGCAAGTATGATCAAGATCGCGGTCGCGAGGCTGGCCAATGGCTGCTCCGCAAGCTCTGGAAGCGCGACGCAGAGCAAACTTTTGACGACAAGGATGCCTCGCTAGACGAAATGACATCGATGCTCAACGATCACGACCACAATGCCCAGGCATACCGCAGTACCGAGACCTCGCCCACGCTCTGCAGCACCCGCACCTCCATTTCGGAATTGCCCGATTTCTCCCTCGACAAGGAACTCGCACCCGCGCCTACGATCCGACAGGCTTTTTCCAAGCAAGTGTGCATGAATGTTGTATGCTATGGCATCCTCGCATTCCACACAATCTCGCTCGAGCAGCTCCTGCCCATCCTCATGTCCAAGAAGCTGCCCTCGGGCGACAACCAGCATCTTCCCTTCCACTTTGAGGGCGGATTCGGCTGGTCGACTCAGACTACCGGGGCCTTCCTTGCCGCCCAGGGCTTCCTTCAAATGTTTGCTCAGGTCATTGTCTTTCCCTGGCTTAGCAAGAAGCTTGGCAGCCTTCGCACCTTCTGGATCACTCTTTCCTGCTACCCGATCCTCTACCTCCTGGGTCCCTACCTGGCCATTCTCCCGGAGAGCCTCCGCATTCCTGGACTCATGGTTTTGCTCATCGCTAAAGTTACCTTCCAGTCGCTCTCGTATCCCTCTCTGGCCATCATCCTCGCAAACTCATCTCCTTCGAAAAAGGTTCTCGGTACGCTCAACGGTGTTGCCATGTCTTCCGCCAGCATTGCACGCGGTTTCGGCCCTACTGTATCCGGCGCCGTTGACAGCCTGGGCACCTCGCTCCACATGTCGGGCCTCGCATGGTGGACCATTGCTGCAGTAGCCTTTCTCGGCTGGCTTCCCGGATTTGCTCTGCAGGAGGGCAACAAGCGACCCAACTTTACTTGCCAGGACGACGAGGAGGCCCTTCTAGACAACGACTCTGACACCGATTCCATCATTACACTTACTCCGGATGAGACGGTAGACACCGTTCTCGCAAAATAGACCTCAAAAAGTTCACGACCTACACAACACGGCGCATTCGTATATATATATTTTTCTCCCTCTTTTTTCGCCTTCTGGATCACAGCCCCTGCCATGGACTCGACCTTTACGCGCTGGCAGCGACCCCTTTTGCTTTCGCATTCAACCTTGGGAATAATAGACTTTTATTGGTGGGTTCGACGACGAACCCTTTGTACTCTTTTTAATCGGCGTATTATCATGGGAGCGACTTAGCGACATGACTTATTTGGGCGGCACATTTGAACAACATTTTTATTAGACGGAAAAGCTCAATTGTATTCAGAGACCAGCAATGGTTGTTGAGCAGGCGTTTGTTTCAAGAACAGAATACCCCGGCATGTATTATTTCCCCATCATCACACTGTATGTATGTTAGTTAGAATAGCTTGCTCAGGCAAATGGATGACATGAATGATTCTCGAACACTAGCAGAGTTGCTTTTTTTATTGTTAGTTCCGGACTACGTGTGCATAAGCATGGGTGGGTGTAATACTGCCAGGCCTGACTCGGACAGAGAAGTGCAGCGGTGAGTTGGCTGGAATGAAGCCGTGTGTGGGCCCCGCGCAGAGTCAGAATGATCTACGCGAGGTTCTGCGAAACAAGTCTAACAGCATAAGCATAACCGAAGGGACCGAAGGGGGCATCCCCTTGGATGTTACAGATGCTTCCTTTTTGCTTCTACACGTGCCTGAATCGGTGTGCTTCATGCGCATCGTAATACTCAGGGTCCCGAGTCAGTGACCGCCATGCTAAGAGTGAGGATCTCCGGCACAATGCTTTCCAAGACTGACGGTCACGGGGTTGAAGCAGCTAGCACCGCGTGGATTTCATACTTAGGCGAACGTCTCGGTGGTGATTGCGCCGGGGGGAGGCAGCAATTTATGGCCAAATCTCAAAACATGCCTCACCCACGTACTTTGTAGCAGTCATGGTTGCTGAGGTGTGCCGCAGTATTAGTAACCCACGTCCTGGCCCACGCAGCCTATCTACAAGGCACTGCTGGAGAGATAAGGGCCACGGCACAGCCTACTAGCCTTGCAACGAGCGACCAACAGCCATCGATTGCTTCGCGGGGGCAGGCAGAATGGCACCTGCAAGCCCACCGCGCGATTTCTTGGACACGCAATCGCATCCCACATTGATATCTTGGTCGGCCACTGTGGTGTTGATGGCATTGGTATTGGTGGTGGTGGTGGTTGACTGACGCCTTAATGTTCAAAGTGCGGGGAGACTAGAGAGAGCTTGCCCGCCCCGTCGTCTTGAGTGAGCTCGGAGATACGCCGCCAAAGCTCTCACTAGCCGAAACCCTGACATTTCTTGCCATGCGCCCTGATGAGCGGTCTCAAGCGCTCTTTGGAGGAGTCCTCTCATGACGGCGATAGGCCCTCGCCCTCGGACTCCTCTGTGTCCACAGTGAAGCCCGCATCGCCCGCCGCGCCTTCGTCCGCGAGCTCGTTCCGCAATGTGAGCGCGTGCAACCGCTGCAGGCTCCGCAAGAACAGATGCGACCAACGCCTTCCCTCGTGCGCTTCATGCGACAAGGCCAGCGTCAAGTGCGTGGGCTACGATCCCATCACCAAGCGTGAAATTCCGCGCAGGTACGAAAATCACACACACACACCCGGGCTTGAAAGCCCTCTTTCTGCATTGGCCTCGGCTCAAACGCTGACGAATGCGATAGCTATGTCTACTACCTTGAAACCCGCGTCGCATACCTCGAGACAGTATTGCAAGAGCATTCGATTACATTCCAGGAAGCAGAAGACTTCAATCCGGCCTTTGCGCCAAGCGCATCTTCCTCGTCAAAGCCCGTATCCGCTGCTGCTGCGCCGCCGCCTCGCAATGGCACTACCAAGCAGACACCCGCCCAGGTCAAGGAGGAGAGCGATAAATATGATCGCGAGAAGCTGACAAAGCTTGTGTCAAACATTGGAATGGTCTCGGTGCAAGGCGCAAGTGACCCGCGGTACCTGGGCTCAACCTCCGGCATATCCTTTGCAAGAGTAGTGTTTGCTGCGGTCAAGAGCTCAGTATCGGGCTCCTCCTCTGAGCGCGGAAGCAACCGCGGAGGCAAGGTGCCGAGCAACGTCGTCGACAGCGGCACCTCGATGCGCGACTCGTTCTTTGGCCTGCAGACCAAGCCTACCATCCGGCAGGCGCCCTTTCCTGACCGAGAGCTTGGGTCGCGTCTGGTTGAGCTGTACTTTGAGCACGCAAACCCGCAGATTCCCATTCTGCATCGTGGCGAGTTCATGGAGCTGTTTGAGCGCGTGTACGCCTCGGGGGAGCGGAACCGCACGTCGCGAGAATCATACATGCTCAACATCGTTTTTGCCATAGGCGCTGGTATCATACTGGGCAGTTCCGACTCTGAGGGCTCGCCGACGTCGGACCACGGCCGTTTCCCAACCAAGTCACGATCATCACCACCGAGTAGTAAGAAGCGGCGACTTGCAGGTCACCAGCATCATCCCGAAGAGTACCATGCTTCCGCGATTGTGCATCTGGAAAACTTTCTGGGCTCGTCCCCTGCTGCGGACCGGCCCGACGGCTTCGGCGGTGGACTGGAGGAACTACAGGCTGTGCTACTTCTTGCAGGCTTTGCGCTCCTCAGACCCGTGGCCCCGGGTTTGTGGTATATTGTCGGCGTTGCTGTCCGTCTTGGTGTCGATTTAGGGTTGCATTACGAAGATGGTGTGGGCATTGATGGGGCAGCATCGGAAGACCCGACTGCTGGGAATTCGACTTCCAAGACCCAAGGTAACGGCAGTGCAACGGCTACTAGCAGTGCCAATACCTCAAAGATTGACGCCAAAGAACGAGGCCGCAGGCAGTGGGTTAGAGACTTACGGAGACGGTTGTGGTGGTGCGTTTACTCTCTTGACAGGCTTGTGAGCACATGCGTTGGTAGACCATTCGTAAGTACACTTTTTTCTTGTATGTTGTGTTTGTGGGAATCATGAAACAGTAGTAGCTTAATCTCGGCTCTCTTCTGGTCTCCTGATATGCAGTCAAACATTCAAGAGCTAACAATTGGGCAGGGCATCACAGATCAGATCGTAACTACAGAGTTTCCCTCACTGCTCGATGACCGTTACATTACCAAGGAGGGATTTTTGACACCACCGCCCCACCAAGGAAAGCCAACGTACAAGATTGTGGCTCATCATTATTTCCGGCTGAGACTACTGCAGTCTGAAATCTTGCAGGTCCTGCAGCATAGACAGGCACAGCAGGCAAGAGCAAGTGGTGCAAACAGACAAAACGAGTTTATGCATACCAAGCTGCCCTCCCCATTCCTAGTCAACTTTGAGTCCTTCCGAGCCTGGCGCGTCGATGTCGACAGGCGACTGTTGGAATGGAAGGATTCTGCGCCTACGCAGCAAGACGCTGGCGTGCAGTTTTCCCCCCTGTTTTTAGAACTCAATTATTGGCAAGCACTCATCATGCTGTACCGACAGAGCTTGGTGGTGCCATCTGGCCTGCAGGACGAACTTGGCAACACTGGCTCCGACATGGGAAGTCCGTCGATGAGCAGCCTTGAAGAGAGAGAAGATGAAGATCTCGTCTTTCTCAAGGTAGCTGAAGCTGGGCAGAAAGTGCTCAAACTCTATCGACAGCTGCATCGGGTGCATCTGGTCAACTACACGTTCCTCGCTACGCATCATCTCTTCATGGCGGGTAAGTACATTTTAGGTTTATTGCCAGCAGTCTGCTAACATGTTTCAGGCATCTCCTTTCTATACGCAGTATGGCATAGTGTCCACGTACGGAGCTTATTGGTACGTCGGTGTAATATGCCCGTGATACAGGGTATATGCGTATAGTCTGATCTAGCTGACCACTGCAGTCACTTGACGACGTCGACTTTACCGTCCTAGCCGCCACATCCGTCTTGGGTGATTTGATCGACAAATGCCCGCCTGCAGAAGCGTGTCGTGACGCGTTTGACCGAATGAGCAAGGCGACGATTCAGATGTGCATGTCGACAACTGGTTTCGGGCCCCAGGCGCTGCGCTCCATGCCGCAGCTCCATCAACACTATTATTCACAAAGTTCGCCAAGCAAAACCCACTCGTCTGCAGATGCAGATACGAGGTCCGACACTGACATGCAGGGTTACGGCGCAGCAGACACAGCGGGGTTCTTCAGCCAGCAGCAACGCCAGCATCAGCAGCAATCTCAGCAGCCACAGCAGCGGCGACCAATACCGCGCTTCGACATGAACCTCAAGGACCTCTTCTCCGACGACGAAACAGACAAACGCTCCTTCAGCCGCGTCAGCAACCAGGTAAACGCCATGCGGCCCCCACCACCGCCGCTAAAACAACAACTCCAACAACCCTTTACCGCCGACCTCAAAATCTCCCCCCAACTCCGCCATCCCTCTCTCCAACAACAACAACAGCAGCAGCAGCCGCAACAAGCCCCTTTCTACCCCCAAAGCCCAACCCAACAATCATCTACCACTAACACCTTCTCCACCACACCCCCGGCAAACCCCCCAATGCCCTCTCCCTACCAAGTCCCTTCCTACCCACCCTTTTCCCAAAATCTCAATTCCTCTTACCCTGACCTCGCAGGCTTCTCCGACCTCGACTTCCTCGAGAGCTTTCCCTTACAAGGCGCAAGTGGTGGCGTGGGCGGAGCAGCAAATAGCGACGGTAGCGCTACGAGCGCCATGCAAGATGTAGGTATAGGCTTTGGTATGGGCTTCGGTGATGGCACGCATGATTGGAGTGATGGTAATGGGTTAGATCTTTTTGATGGGTTTTTCTTCGGTAAGTTCCTCTTTCGCTTTTTTCTTCTTGTTTTGGCTTTAGTTGTCCTTTTACTTGGGTGAGAGGGTGGGGATTGTGTGTATGGTGAGCGCGGGGAAGGAGCGGCTGAGAGGTTCTCTCTTTTTTTTTCTTTTTTTCTTTTTATTTTTTTCCGATGAGAGTAAACACAAGTGCGGAGTTTTGGATCTTAGTTGCTAACGTTGTATTCTAGGTCCGGGTGGAACTGGTGGGTAGGGTTTGGAAATATGCATGTGCACAATATGGTATGTACGTGTAAGATCAGAGTCAATATGACGTTGTCGTCTTTTTTTTTCGAAAACTTTGGTTTCGGTGTTCAGCTGCTTGATCGCGTGATGTTCTCATACCCTCTCTCCTCTCTCCTCTCTTCTCCTCTCATCTTTCATTGAGAAGGGAAGGGGGGAGGGGGAGGCCAATTACATCCTGTGACCTGACCTTCCCCCCCCCCTTCCTTCAAAACCATACGTCATCTCCCAACACTGTTATTCCAGCGTGGGGGTCACCATCAACCTCCCTTCACAACCATTGGGGGCCATCAAAGCGGTGAACTCTGCGGCTGAAAGGGGGGGGGGGGTCTGGGGGTGTTTTTTTGGGGGCCAAACCACGCATGCACGTAGCTACTATCCCAATTTTCCGAACATCTGCATATGTGAAATTTTGGGAAAAAAAAAGAACGAGGCTGGGGACGGGTAAAGTACAACACTCCCCCCCACACACCCCACGGTTTTCCTTTCTTTCCTATCCTCCCCCCCTTTTTTTAAACATACTGATCGGAGACCGCCGGGATCCGATATCACACAATCGAGTATGGCTACTAAGCTGTACCACCGTGTGTGTTAACGGCTGTGTGATTGGTGTATGGGGAAGGGGAAATGAGATGAGGCTTATATAACATCTGCCAATGGGGGGTTGAGGATGAGAAGTGGCTTGCGTAGACTTACTTTCGGAATAAGGCAAATTGGGGGAAATTTTTGGATGTCCTGTTAGGTTTGGATTTGGGTATCTTGGTGTCCACGCCCTCCCCTTTTAATGTGTATGAATGCTGATTTGGTGATTCGGACTTGGGTAAGCCGTGCGCCTATGTTGGGTGAGACAGATCGGTATATAGTGATTTTGTCTTTCTTCGGATGGCTTAATGAAAAAGAGTGACTTTTGTTGTGGATGACTTGTTTTTCAGGTATGGAAATATGGATTGTACATTGATTTCTCTGCATATGACTATGATAGGAATACTTTTCATTCCATAATGCTTTTATAGGCTTGTAGTTGTTTCTCTAGTCATTGGGTCTTCTCTTATCAGAGCACACAATTACACATCCGTATACACCAAGCTCATGCTCGAAGGGTGATCCACGTCGTCTGTGTCTGATCGAACATTTGAAGAGCAAAAGTCAAAACAAATTGAGCGAGGAAAATTTCACAGAAAATGCATAGTCAACAATCACACACTAGACGATAAATTCTCAAACACCAGATATCATACACAGCTTGAATGGAATAAACTTTTGAATTCCTTCTTCAGCTGACATGCAGAAGACTTGTCTAAGCTAACCAGAGCATGTGGCTCGGCCTGCCCTCCATCCTCTTTCGAGGAGCGGGCGACCACTGATCGTAATCTTCATGGTATCGTCTTGAAGCTAACCGTTACTCCACCCCAATGAACAAAAGCAAAAAACTTAGTTCATCTGCCTAACGAGCTGGTTGATGAACTCCTCACGGTTACCAAGGTCACCACCCTCGATGAAGTGCTTGAACTTGCGGGTGCGGAAACCACCGGTAGGGGAGGAGAGCTTGAAGGGCCAGAGGAAGTTGGAGACAGCCTTGAAGTTGGGGCCGACGGTGTAGAGCTCGTGGATGATGTCCTCAATGCAGGTGATGCCGTACTTGCCGAGGTTCTCCTCGATGAGGGCGTTATCGGTGATAGGCAGGCGCTGCTTGTTGACCTTTCCGTAACCGCGCTTGTAGACAAGCTCACGGACAGTCTTGAGGTTGGGGTATCCGTAGGTGACGAAGGGCTCGACAATCTTCAGCATCTCAGAGGTGGCCTTGGTGAGCTTGACGAAGACACCGTTGTTGATCTGGAGGAGACGGAGGAGCTGGAGAGTCTTGCGCTTCTTGGGGTCGATCTTGTTGATACTGCCAGGAATTAGCATGCGAATAGCCGTTTTGCGAAAATTTTACATACCCCTTGATACGGACGACAAAGGCGAGCTTGGCCTCGGCAGGGACGTAGAAAGAGTTGTCGCGCTTTGCGGCACGCTTGGCCTCGATGATGTCCCTCTCGGCCTTGACGTACTCCTGGTTGTACTTGGCGGCCCTCTCCTTGATGACCTCGCGCTTCTGCTTGTTGGCCTAAGGAAATCTTAGCCAACTGTGCTACTCCTATCTGCTTACGCAGGTTCTGGGAGATTTTATACCTCACGCTTCTTCTTCAGCTCGGCAGCCTGGGAGTCGGTGGTCTTCTGGTGAGCCTTTTGCTTCTTGAGCACCGACTCGGGGACGGCGATGTCATTGTGGGTGGGGATGCTGAGGCACAATTAGCATTACGACGAGTCTGCGATGGCATTGAACTCACGAAGTGCGGGCCATTTTGCTGGTGGTTAGTGGGCTGCCTTGGTGTTGTCGAGACGCTGAAGAAACAAAGTTCGGCTGAGGGAATCGAAATTCATGTGCGGACGCTAGTGGGTGTGCCAAGACATCGAGCTGCGCTAATGCCCCGCTCTATTGGTCCACTCTTCGCCGCCTTCGACATTTTCCTGAGAGCTACCAACTTGCGACAATTGCTGCTAGTTCGCCAAGTTCAGGCTCTACATATTCATATACCTAAAAATGGGACGAGGAGGAGGTCGCGTGAGTTTTCGCAGCATGCGCCACATAGAAAACCCCACTGACTTAATCTAGGGCGGCGGTCGCAAACCATTCCGCGGCAAGAATAAAGGTGGACGCGGCGGCGGCGGTGGAGGACGAGATACTCGCACTGAGCCATGGTCTACAATTGAGCGCAAGAATGAGCTCTTTGAGAGCTACTATCGCATGGGAGGCTTTTTGGACGAGGCAGAATTTGAGGAAATGTGGAAAGCTCTCCAAGCAGACTTGCCCAACAGCTTCCGTTTTACTGGTACAAAGTCTGATGCTCTCGCCGTGCGTGAGATCTTCAAGCAGCGATATGTTCCAGCGATTGCGTCCAAGCATTTCGAGGGCAAGCCAGTCTCGCCCCCCGAACCAGTAGCGGCCTTTCCTGACGAGCTTGTATGGCACATGAAGACTCACAAGAAGATCATTCGACGACATGCGCCTTTTGCGGATTTCCAGAAATTCCTCGTTGCCGAAGCCGCCTCGGGAAACATCAGCCGACAAGAAGTTGTCAGTATGATCCCACCACACTTTCTCGATGTGAAGCCGGGTATGGTGGTTCTCGACATGTGCGCAGCACCAGGTAGCAAGTCGGCGCAGCTGGCTGAAATGATTCATGGCGATGAGGAGGAGAGGGTGCAGCGGGTAGCGAATGGCGAGTCTGTCGATCTCAGCGCAGACGGCGACTACAGCGATGATGGACGCTCGACAGGTCTGCTCATTGCCAACGATTCTGACTACAAGCGCGCCGGCATGTTGGTTCACCAGGTCAAGCGACTCAACTTCCCGAACCTGATCGTGACGCAACACGATGCATCGATATTCCCCTCGATCGAGCTACCCAGCCAGGGCGGCAAGAAGCAGTACCTAAAGTACGACAGAATCTTGGCCGACGTACCCTGCTCTGGTGATGGCACAGCTCGCAAGAACCCCAATGTGTGGCAGAAGTGGACACCCAAGGACGGCCTTGGTCTGCATGGTCTTCAGCTTCGCATCTTGTTCAGAGGTCTACAAATGCTGAAGAAGGGAGGTCGTATGGTATACTCTACCTGCAGTATGAACCCTGTTGAAAACGAGGCCGTCGTTGCAGCAGCCATCGAGGCTTGTGGTGGAAACGCCAAGGTCAAACTCGTCGACTGCTCAGACCACCTCCCGAACCTCAAGCGCAAGCCGGGCCTTAACTCATGGAAGGTCCTCGACACTTCATCTGTGACTGCCGGTGGAGAAAAGACTGCTCACATGTTCACCAATTGGGAGGCGTACCAGAAGGCAAGGACCAAGTACGAGACTGAGGAGCCTGAACGCCAGTTCTCTACCAAGGTCACTCCCAGCTGCTTCCCTCCTATTGCCAAGTCCGAGGAAGAGCGCATCCCTCTTGAGCACTGCATACGGGTCTACCCACATTTGCAGGACACTGGTGGTTTCTTCATTGCTATTCTTGAGAAATTAGATGATATCAAGATTGCGCAATTACAAAGCCCAGAGACCCTCAACAAGGGCGATAGGGCACAAGCTGAGACGACAACCGACTCTTCTGTTCCGACACCAGCGGAGAATGTCATTGAAGCGGACGCTACAAAGACAGACACCGCAGATGACGCCTCTGATATTTCGGCCCCTCTCAAGCGCAAGCTGGAAGAGACCGAAGACACTGAAGCGCCAAAGAAGGTCAAGACCGATGATGCTGCGGAGAATGCAGTTGCATCAGCCCCAGCTACCGAGTCTGTTACAAACGGCTCCAAATCCGCGGTTTCCAAGGGAGCCAGCCTCAAGCCTGAGAACCAGAACCAGGCCAAGGAGTACTTTGAGTACCTTTCTCCTGATGACGCGACCATTGCCTCCATCTTGGACTTCTTCGGCATCGACGAGCGTTTCCCGCGCGACCGCTTCATGGTCAAGAACAAGGAGGGCCTCTCCCTTAACAAAATCTACTACACTTCTGCTTTCGCAAAAACCATCATCTCGCAGAACAAAGACCGTGGCATGAAATTCATCCACTGCGGCGTCGTCATGTTCGTCGCACACAAGATCAAGGATCTAGACCGCACACAAGCCCCATGGCGCCTCCAAAACGAAGGTATCCGCATCCTCGAGCCCTGGGCCAAAAAGCGCATCGTCAAGCTAGAAAAGAAGGAAACCCTTCACCAGCTTATCCGCGAAATGTTCCCCAAGCTCCCCAAAGAAGGGGACACTGGCCTCGGCGAGGTCGGCGAACAGCTCCAGAAAATGGACGTTGGATGCTGCTTTGTCCGCGTGGAGAAGGACGAGGAGCAAGGTATTCCGTTCCGTATGGTACTGCCTCTTTGGAGACATCCAGGCAGTGCGAATCTCATGGTTGACAAGGATGATCGCAAGGCTATGCTTTTGAGATTGTTCAATGAGAAGGATACCGAGATTATCAATCATGTTGCTGATAAGGCGAAGGCGGAGATGCAGGCTAAGGAGGCGGAGGAAGCGGCTGAGGAGGCTGCTGAGGAGGCTGCTGAGGAGGCAAATGGAAGTGATAAGGAAGGCGGTGTCAGTCTTGATGCAGCGGACGGAGAAGATGTGAAAATGGGTGAGGATGCCTAGATGGTGTATCCTCGTGGGTTGAGACATGCATGAGTGTTGGCGTTTTTTTTTCTTACTATTTTTTTCATATACTTATCACGTATAGCTTCAGATATTCAACCACGCATGAATGGTACCATGGATTTATGGACTATTTGGCTTCAGAACCCGAATTATTACCGTGACAGCGTGATGTATGAGATGTCGAGTATGTATTCTGAACTAAACTTTACATTTGTGTCCTACCCTCTAGTCGTATCCAGCGTGTCAAGTTCACCAGCACATAAGCACAAGCACAATTCTTTTCTCAAACACCAATCAACCCATAAATTCAAACGGATATCAAATCCCTAATCATACAAAAAAACGTCTCATCTAGCATAATACTCCTCCATGTACCCTAATCATCAACGATAATCATTCGAGTTGTAAGAATTGCGGTTACCCTGGTATCCTCCGCCACCTCCGCCACCACCGCGATGTCCGCCTCGTCCGCCCCTGCTGCCACGACTTCCCCTATCGTCTCTGGGTGGACGATCACTGTAAGGGTTGCTGTTGTTTTGGTATCCACCGCTTCCCGGTGCGCTGCGCCCGAGAATTTCATCCGCGGGACGGTAGAAGCGTTCGTCACGGAGGGAGCTGTTGTTTGGGGCCTGGCGAGGCGGTGGTGCGCCGTGTTGCTGGTTGGAGTTGGCCATCCAGGCGGGCCGTTGGCCGGCGGGTGGTGGGACGGGTGGAGCGCCGTAGGGAGGAGCGCCGCCTTGCCAGCCGCCTACGCCGGGTGGAGGGACCCAACCTGGGGGTGGGGGAGGTAGGAAGTTCGCGCCGGGTAAAGGAGGAAAGTTGCCGCCGGGGAATGGAGGCGCAAAGTTGGGGGGTGGTGGTGGGTAGCCGCCAGCTTGGCCGCCACCGTAGCCACCTCTATTGTTGTTGTCCCAGTTGCCGCCTCCACGACCATTCTGGTAACCTCCTCGTCCACCGCCATTCTGGTAGTCGTTGCGGTTGTTGTCGTTACGGCGATCATTGTAGCCTCCCCGACCACCTCCGCCTCCACGACCGCGGCCACGGAAGCCACCGCGCTCGTTGGAGCGACGTACCGACTCAGCCTCACCAGGACTAAGGGCTGGTTTGGGGAGCTTGACACCGTCGAGCAGAACAGACTTGTGTGCTCGAGCGGAGGTCACGGTTGGCATTTCATAGTATACCCTATGTGTTGTTAGTGATTTGCTTCAAAGATGTACATTTACTGTAACATACCTCATTGAACGGTCCTGTGTGATTTCAAAATCTGTTACGCCGTCGGCGTCAAACGGTGGCACAAGTTGGCTGTCCATAACAAACAAGTCGTGCGGCTCAACGTCTCCATGTAGCGCTCGACTCTTAGCGGGATCGATCCTGTGCTTTTGCTGACCCTTGCGATACAGAGCCTTTTCTACGTCGTCAAAAAGGCTACACTCTTGCGAGAACATGAGAGTCTCCTTTCCGAATTCGTTTCGCTTCCTCTCATCGTCTGAAAGCTCAGGGTACTTCGTGGCCATAGCGGCAAGCAGTCGCTTCTCGTCAATGAATGGTAAGACGGCGACACCTTGCCAGGCGAACTTTTTGCCATTGAGGTCGATGGGAAAGTCCTCGGGGTAAAAGTCTACAATGGAGCTGTTGGGGTCTTCCATGAGTACACGGAACGGTTCGGGGATGGCATGGTTGGATGCGGCAGGCAAGACACCCATCAGTTGCTCGTATGGATGGAAGGGTTTGCCCTTCTCAAATAGCTTGCGAGGGTCCATGTCTTCGAGACCAACAAAGTCGGCAGCGAATGGGGCATAGTGGTGAGGGAAGTACCATGTCCACGAAGGGCAGCCTTGCATATAGTAGGCCAAGACCCAGCAGAGACCTTCAGCATACTGGCGTGCAACTTTGTTGCGGAAGGCAATGTCGTTGGGTGCAACACCAAACTTTTGCTCGTAGTAACGTTCTTCGTAGCCTTCTTCCCAGAGCTTGATAGTGTCCTCTGGAGTGCCATCATCGTTTTTCTTGGGCTCAGTAGCCTGAGTTGGAGACTCGGGAACGACTGGTGTGTTGCGCCCAGGCGTCCCGTTGTCGAGATCCTCTATGTCATCTGCCTTACGCTTTCCAAGGTGGACAGGTGTTTCAGCACCAGAAGCGGATTCGGAAGCTGGCTCAGACGCCGGCTCAGACTCAGGCTCCGGGATAGAGGTGCCCTCAGCCTTGGCCTTCATCAGCTCCTTGAGCTTGGCAGCCGCGCTTTTGTTGGCTTGGGAATCCCGAGTATGCATAATGTCCTTGTGAACATCGCGTACCTCCTTTGACTGGGCCTGCTTAGGATCAAAGAATACAATGCCTGCACTTGTGTAGGTGTCTGTTGTCTCCTTTGCCCGCTTGAACCCTGGGGCTGAAAGGCCATTTTCGTCGGTTCGCTGGCGTTTGTTGGCATTGTTATGAGCTTCACGTCGAGCCCTGTTAGCTGCCTGGCGGTCTTGGACTTCCTTACGCTTTTTGAAGATGCCAGCCTCTCGGGTGGCAAGAGCTGAGAGAATCTGCTGGACGCGGCGCATATCAGGAAATCCATCCTTAGTCACATAGTCATCCATATCAGCGGCAAGATCTCGCCAGATGCTAATGAGCAAATCGATACCCTGGTCGCGAATTTCAAGACTTGGCAAGTGTGGCAAGAAATCGTTACCGACAAAGAAACACATAAAGACCCAATCATCGAGTGAACGCTCCAAGTCATACTTGAATTTGCGCTTGGGCGTGTCCATTTCGACAGCCAGATACTCTCGCAGGATATTGGTGTGCAGCCAGATGAAGGGCTTGAGCTGGTGTTCAGACGTGGCCCATTCCGCATCAGCTTCTTCTTCAGTGAGCTTCTTGCCATCATCAGGGAATTCACAGTTGGTTCGGATATGACCTTTGCGACCACAGCGGGTGCAGACCTTGTCCTTACCAGAGTCGAAGAAGACGTCTTCTCTGAGAACACGGAAGTAAGGCTCATGAGTGGCAAGACTCAGCATGATCAAGTCGGCATCCAAGCCGTAGATGACGTGCGATGTATTGGGGTCATGTGTAGGCATAGCGCGTTGAGAGCGAATGAAGTTCATGATTTTGTGTTCTCCTTCACCAGGCACAGATGCATCTGAAATGATGACTTTCATGTCCTTCCACGAAGGGTCGGTTGTGAACTTGTACGCACACCAGTATTGAAGACTCTCGGCAAGAAGATGCATGAAGGGTGTACCAGGGGTGATTGCATTAGAGTCCCAGGTCTTTTCAACAACCTCTTCGAGACTATTAATGTCCTCACCACGGCTGGCCTTTTGTGAGTTGAGGATCTTCTGAAACTCTGCACGCTCATCGTCCTTTTCCTTTGCTTCTTTGGCTGATCGGAAACGACGCGATCGCTGCTGGTTCATTTTGGCACGGGGAGCAACACCATCGACGGCCATGTAGAGTAGCTTACGGGGACGCACCATGCCGAGGACGCGGTCAGTGTACTCGAAAATGGCAAGCATCATGTCAGCCTCAGTCTTGGGCGCGGGCTTGTCTTCTGGATGCGAGCATGGATGCACAATGCCGTTCATGTCGAGGTATAGGTTGTCGAACTCCTCACCGTTGGGATTGGGTCCAGTACGGTCTACGGGGATGACGGCATCACCGACTTTCTTGGGCAGTTCCTCTTGCACGCTTGACACGATCTTGGGGTATTTCTGGCTGAGCCAGCGAAACATGGCGGGAACACCCATTGTGGCGGAAAGCGCTCAGTGGCGCGCTGTGCAGGGGAAGGGTGTGAGGGTTGTACGTAGAGGAATGGGGGAGTGCGGCGATGGCGCAGACGCGTGTGCTAGTGCTCTGGAAGTGTGGGTAGTATTGCGAAGATACTGAAAAGGCTGGAAAGAGCGGCGACAGACGCTTCTATTGATGAAGCGCTCCTTAGAAAGAAAGAAAGAAAGAAACTGCCTGGCGGCGAACACTGTGGCCCTCCTACTGTGTAGTGGCGCTAGAGGCGATATCTAACAGCAGCAACAAGAAAAAGAGCCTCCTGGGATCGCAGGCTTCTTTGGCGCGCTGTGGCCGAGTTGCGCGTGGGATTGATGGGGATGGGGAGGGGAGGAGGGGGTTGAGTGTTACGGTGAGAAGTCGACAAAGACGCGCGAGGGTACAAGATTCACTGCCAAGACCGGAAGCCGGGGCTTAGCCGAGCAACGTGCGACCAGGGTGCGGTGTGAGCGAGCCGCAGCCCGTGCGCCGAATTATACGTGGAGCTTCAAGGCACGGGTGAATGCTGTCTTCACCTGTGCGGGCGGCAGTCACGTTGACTGAACGAGGACGCCGGGCTGATCCGATGGTTCCTCATACATATACTACATACACTCGCATGAACATTCGCCCAATCGCTGCCCCTATCCCTGCCATGAAGCCATAGCCCGCCCAAATTCCTTCAAGATGATGCGAGTACTCGAGGCCAACGCGCCTCCCAAGCAGACTGCCACGGATACTATCAGCACGCTGAGCGGGCGCCTGACCAGCGCAACCCTTCTCGAAGACCGCCGCGCTGCCATTCTCGGCCTCCGTAGTTTTGCAAAAGAATACCCCGCCTCAGTCGCATCAGGAGCGCTGCGGGGACTCATTACGTCTCTTACCAAAGATGGTGACGATGTGGACACGCTCAAGGTGGTGTTGGAGACACTGCTCATGCTCTTCCACCCCGATGAGAACAGTCCAGAAGCGTCCGAGGAAATAGCCCTGTGGCTGGCCGACCAATTCTCTCAAGTATGTGCTTTCTTTTGTATGCGTGCCTGCTAGTGCTGAGCTTATGGTAGCGACAAGACAACATCACTTTGCTCGTCGACCTCCTGGAGAAGCCAGATTTTTACTCTCGCCTGTACTCGCTGCAGCTAATTCGCGCCATCTCGCAAGCACGACCCCAACGAACCCAGGAATGTGTCCTCACAGCGCCCGGCGGCATCGAGCGCCTCGTCGCAACCCTCGATGATCCACGAGAT